GCCCACTTGTCACTTCTTTCATTTTCGACCTTGACTTTTACTTTGGCTTTATCCCATTGTTGTAATTATCAGCGCGTACATTTCCACACTTGGAGAGGTTGTCATCTGTGCATTCTCAGTTATGTCTGTTACTGCGGGGGGGTCACAGGGCTCTTAGGTCATGTTTGAATGTGTTTTAATCTGGGCTTTTTTTCAGCTGAGCTTTAGTTCCCTGCTTTGCTCTGCTCGGGTGGCTGTCTGCTCGCCACGAGGAGTGACAGGCTGGCAGCTCTGTCTGACCCCTATCACCAGTCAGTCAACAGCAAAATCCAACAGGTCACTGAGCCAAAGCCTAATCCCCAACTCATGGATGGATGGTGGGTTGGTTGGCTACATGGTGTGGGATGGGTGGTTTGATAGATAGGCCTTTTTTTCTGACCCTGGAGACCCTCAGTTAATGCCATGGAAAGAGTATAGTAGTAAAAGGAAAAATAAAAGAAGATGTGGTGGGGCTTGAGAATTATTATTTCAAAGGGATTGTGGTGCTTACAGAAGACCAGCTGAGAATGTCACATAAGACAAAAAATGATGGTGAGGAGAATGCCCTACAGAGGAAACTGATGCAAAGGAAAGCCACAGAAATATTTGCTGGATATCAGAGAGATGGTAGGAGTTAAGCCACACAGTGATAGATGGAAGAATTGTGAGAGCAAGAAAGCAAACACAGCAGGGGGTACAGTACTGTATGTCAAGGCCATGATTGGTGGGGTTATGTTGATTTGTGGTGAGGGTCGTGAGGTTCGCTCTGAAGCCTGCAGGGAAATTCTGCAATCAGCAAGCAATGACAGCAGCCGTCATTAAGCTGAAGCCACAGAGAAACAATACAGTTAGAAAGCAGCCTCAAAGACACTGCAGCAAGCCTTGGTGTGTCAACTTATCATGTGCTAAAAGGCTACTGTGTTAGCAAATATTTAGTCGTCTTTCTTGCTACATGTCAAATTTAGGGCCAGTATTAGCACAGGTTCGGTCTGCCAACCCATGCAAAAAAGATCCCATCTTACTGGAACTGGATATTACTCTCTGCGCCAGCCCCACATTTACTTTGGCTTTACAATAGAGAAGTTGTGCAAAAGCATGAATTTCCAAATTTTCTTTCTGATCATTTGTTGAACATTTGCTTATGTGTACATACTGATTTACCTTTCATCTCAGATTTCCTTCCCTCACTTGCAGGATGTTTCAGGTTTTTCACATTGGTGAAATCAAGAGAGTACAAGTGAGAAATTTAATACAAATCAAAATGATTATTTAATGAGTTGTATTTATTTAATTTAAAAAATTTCACTTGCAGAATATTATCAGTCAAGTTTTAGGGGAACCTTGTGATGGCTTTGGCACCCCATTGCCCCAGCTGTTAAATTAAGGTTTACTTGTGCACTGACCCATGTAGAGTCAATATTGTCAGTCCAATTTCAAGTGAGATTGGGGCTTTAAGATGTTTAAAACAGGTGAGACAGGTGTAGGTGGCATACACGCCAAATCAGTCCAAATGATCTTATGGAGAGAAAAATTGTATATGTGATGGTTACAGTGGTCAATCAGTTTTATTTGCAACAATCTTGTTTTTATAAGTACATCATCAGGTCACACTGTTTACACATTTATTTTTATTCACTCGTTTATGGAGCCTGCAGGGTCGGCTGAAAGGTTTGAGGTTGGAGATGGGCTTGCTGGAGGTTGGTGGGCATCCGGGAGGTGGGAGGGGGGGTTCTGCAGGACTATGATTGGGGTTGCTGAAGGGAGGGCTTTGGGGCGCTGCGGTGGGAAGATAAGGGACTGGATGTGTGGTTAGGAGGCTGGGAGGGGGAAGAGGGGTTTGTGGCTGCTGTTGTAGGCTGCAGCTGGCAGAGCGGTGATAACCAGCAACCAGACCTCCACTGTCTTACCTCCTTGCTCCCTGTCCTCCCCACTCCTCTACCCAGCTATATGATGCACTGTTGAACTCAACAGTGGCACTGATTTCCAATAAGTGATGTAGTGTTGTGTTGTAGGCACATTGTTTGTTAGCAAAAGAGCCATGTGTTCAGACATCTAGAGCCAAAACTGTCGAAAGCTCCAGTATCTAGCTAGGTTATTGTACACTCTATATGACAGCTTTTCAAAAGTTCAATGAACACGTTCAACGTAGAATCAGCACAGAACATATTAACAAACATTTGCTCTTAGAATGAAAAAACAGAAAGTAGGCGTTGTGGTATCTGGTGTAAACCAACAACATGTATCCTTCTTCCTTACATACTGTGAGAGCTGATGTGGTTTGACTGGTTGAGGCCTCAGGGTGATGTTGAGGATAGCTATCTGTGTCCCTGCTACTGCACAAATCTGCCTGACGGTCTCTTATGAGCCTCGGTTTTCACTCTTAGTCTTTCACACCTCTACAACTGCATAACATGGTGGAGCCATGACAGGCCGACAAAAGGAGATTTAAGTAAGGACAGGGTTTCCAAGTGGAGGGTTTTTCCAAAATTTGATATGTTCACAATAAAAAACAATTGTTCTCTGTTACTTAGTAAGATGTACATGGTTACAAAGTAGGGCATATTATGGTATTGTAAAGAGAGGTCTCCAAATAAAGATTTCAGTGAGATAGCGGTTACATGGTTTCAATTACATAGTTCTCCGTGGTGTCAATTCGGTATTGTAAGAAGAACTTATTCTTTTACTTTAAAAAAATCCTGGGTTCAATTCTGTCCCATCTATATGGTAGACTTTGGTAACATTTAGAAGGTACAAGACAAAGACTCAGGACTGATTAAAGAAAACACAACTGAGCATCATGTGTTATGGCAAGTGCCAAACTTGTGAAGTTGCTTCATGTTGTTCGGTATGCATCAAAAAACAATCAACTGATTGTGTAACGTGAATGTAAATATACTAAAATGATAACTCTAGATGGCCTTGGTTTTGTGAGCAGACAGGTGCAAGTGGAAAAACACAATCCGCATTTCATTACTGCAGAACATAGAGTAAGTCTTGAAACATAGTAAATGGGCCATTTTTGTGTTTCATTATCCATATAGATGGACACGATAAAGAGATAATAACCCAATAGATTGTTACCTTAAATCAGCAGATCTAGTACTACATCGACAGAAATGGCTGGGAAGCATTTTTGTCACTTTGAAAACTTTTCTCGACTACTTTACTTTTTTGTGATAGTTGTACCTTGAACTTCCGTCTGTGATAGTATGTTCCCTTGAAGTCTTGTGAAGGTTTGTGGCAGCAAATATATCATGTATCTCTGGATATAAATCCACCTTACTGTATGTACTGTGTGCTTCAACCATTGCATGTATGGTGTGAGAAAAGGAGTGTTTACAATATTGTAGAGCCCTCTGGTGAAATACTACACAACGGTAAAAAGTCCAGTGAAGTCAGGTTGTTTTTTCAACAGCTTTCATTGGCCATCATATATGTTTATTCTGAATGTGTACCTCAATGTTTATCCACGTATGAGTGTGTGTGTTTGAAAGTGTCTGGATGCGTGCGCGGCGGGGGCGCTGCCTCGTATGTTTGGAGTGAGTGCCGTCAGTTAGCTGGAATGTGGCGCTACCGCCAATGCTAAGATGGCTGCCAAGCTCTAAGATGGCTGCCAGGATTACACCCAGCCCGTGAGAGACAGAGAAGAGCGAGAGATTCTGCATGAGAAAAGAGGGGAAAAAGAAGCTCTCTTTCATTTCTGTGCTCTTTCTTTCTTTCATTCTCAGTCTGTCTCGCCCCTCTCTCTGTGGATAAGCAGTGCTTCGTAGGCAGCGAGACAGGTCTGTTATTGTTTCTGCTCAGTAATCTGTGGCTTAGTGTGGCTGCAAGGCAAGCGCTGCTGGCAGGAGTCTGTGTGCTCTGTTATCACCTACAGCCTGCAGATAAACACCTCCTTTAGCTAGCTTGCTAGCTAGCTATGGCCTAGCTAGGCCTGAATGAATGGCCAATAGCATTAGCCGCTCACACCACACCAGTTGTGGAAATGGAGCCCAGTCTTATTCACCAACCCCAACACGTGGTCACAAAGATCAAGGAAATACATACAGCTAGAAGGCCCAGCCAGTGTTCTGTATCCATAAACAAATATGCACACACGTGTTCTTTTTTCACAGCCTGGACAAGAATCCACCCTCTTTAGACAACTTTTCTCAATACCCATGTTACAAAACCTCCTCATTCAGCCTGCAGCTACTCCAAGTGTAATTGTGGCCCTTTGTTGCCAAGACTTGGCATGTTTGCGTCTGCTCGTGAGTGAAACCCCCATGCAGTCATAACAGGTGTGTGTTTGTGCAGATGTGTTTGTGTTGCTCAGCTGTCATTTCATCACAAGAGGAATAGTTTTTTGCCTCAACTTCAACATGCCTCGAATCCCTCGGGACAGCCAGACTGGCATGGTCAGCCCTTTCACAGGGTCTGTGTATGTGTGTTCATGTATTCATGCGTTTGTGTCCATGCAAGGATTACAGCATGTTTTAAAGTATGAAACAAACATTAAAGACAGAAACAGATTGAGAGAGAGTGTGCATAGTTGTGTGTGTGTGTGTGTGTGTGTGTGTGTGTAAGGTGCTCTGTTTACGCAGACTAAATCCCTACCAGCAAGAAGGTATTAAATAGGATTAGGGTGAGGGATATGATTGCGTGGTTAGATACTAAATGGCATAGCAGCACACTGTAAATCATTGCACCTTAAGTCAGGAGGGACACAGGGAGACGGGAGAGAACATTCTTAGATACAAGACTGTCACACAAAAATGTGTGAATTCACACACACACATACACTCACAAGATGCATACCATATCCCAGCACATACTGCAAGTCCCTCTTATTCATCTCACACCTCAAATATCACTTGGCAGCATGGATGCATAGCTGTGAATTGCCGAGACGTTGTTCATGTTTTTGGTTACTTTTTTTTAGCACAAAAAACAGATCTTAACCATTTGTCTTTCTCTATTCTCCCCTCGCTGTTTCTGTGCAGAATCCGGACAATCAGACAGCTCCAGCCAACAGGGGGACACAGACATCAAACCACCGCCCAATGGTAGGTACCCAAACACACACATCCCATGTCCAGACACCATCAAATGAGCATACTAAAATTGATTGCATCATGCTTATCAGTCTTAACATTTTCCAATTATGGATCCAATTAGCAAACAGGCTCACACAGATGTTGATCCACAAACATAGTTGCAGATGGTCGCCCTCTCAAAGGGATGTGATTTTCAGGGTTTCTTCCAATTTCTTTTCTTTTCCCTTTTTTCACCATGAATTTCTGGGGGGGGGGGGGGGGTTCTCTACAACACTTGCATGTGTATGCAAGTCCTGATCAAATCCTTTTCTGTACAGGGCACCTGAGTTTCCAGGACTGCTTCGTCACCTCAGGGGTGTGGAACGTGGCGGAGCTGGTCAGAGTGTCACAGAGTAAGTAGTAAAAAAGACATAGAGAGAGGCATGGGAACAAAAAACAATTACAATACCCACAGTATGATTTGTGGATACTAGTGCTGGGCAACGATAAAATCTTTTATTTAATTGCAGATAATCGCATGGTTATGCGCAAAATTGAACAATGAATTCTAAAGTAGCGTATTGCACACTTTTAATTTAATTTAAATGTACTGCTATATATATATATATATATATATATATATATATATATATATATATATATATATATATATATATATATATATATATATACAGTTTTTGTTCAGTAGCAAGTGTCCCTGTTAGTGAGGTGAAGAAGCCTCCTGCCGAAGTTGAATTGTCTTGAACTTATTGTACGCAAGGCGGAGCACAAATCATTGGAAGAGAGACTAATCCTTGCTGTTTGTGAGTTTCCAGAATCTATTACTGTTTACTAAATAGGACATCAACAGGAGGGAATTCGCATGGCAGAGCACCCCGCAAAAGTATATGGAGGCCTATCAGTAAAGTTATGTAGCCTATAATTTTAACTTAAGTTAAATAGGCTACAGCTGTATAGCGCCCAGAAGGCGTCGCCATGGTTACTATCCATAGAGTGGCTGCCGTTTACTCACGGAGCGCTTGTCTCACTTTCTGATCACCGGAGCAAAGAGCAACCCCGAGGGGCCGAGCGACTACGTTGTGATTTTAAGAACGTTCCTAAGACCAACATCTTCCCCAATACTAATCAGCATGCAGTGTGTAGCTATCCACTTGTCTATGGCATTTGATAGCTTGTCTTGCTTTTGTTTATCCACTTCTCCCACACGCTGCATCCAGCATAGTCTGCCGAATCCTCCCTCCGCTGCTTGTTTGGGTGGATGATTTGCAGGCTGATCAACATCCCGCCCCTCCTGTGACCCATGGTTTGACTGTATGTGTATTCAGAGCCAGTGAGCAATGGACCTTCAAAATAATAATATATAAAACTGCGTTAACATGCGATAAAATAATGCGATAAAATAATGCGATAAAATTAATGCGATAATAACGCGTTAATGTGCCCAGCCCTAGTGGATACATTTATTTATGATACAGTACATACACAATATGTATCCTTTTTATATACAATATAATTTTTATAATTATATTTTTATAATTTAAATCTTTTGACTATATCTGGAATATACATGCCATCTTAACTCATTCTTGCATATTTCCCTTTCTCCATGTCTTTTTTTCTCCCTCCCTCTTTCTTTGATTTTTCTCCGTCCTCAGCTCCTGTAGCCACAGCGTCAGGGCCTAACTTCTCACTCGCCGACCTGGACAGCAGTCCCAGCTACTACAACATCAACCAGGTTGCTCTGGGGCGACGCTCCCTCACCTCCCCTCCTTCCACCAGGTACACAGTCCCAGCAATGATTTCATGCAAACAACAATACTGTACAGGTGTACGGAAATGTATGTTGCTCAGGGAAACACCAGTGGCCATAAAACAGGTCCAGCTGTCCAACATTAGTGGAATCTCTTGCGTGCGAAGCCACCATGTGGCAATAGTGTAGTGCTACCTGGGCGTGTGATTCGCTGTGAAGCCAAGGGCAGACTGGAGGGAAGTGTGAAATCACAGTAATATCTGCCAACGGTGTATCGCTTCTTATTGCAAGGATGACTACTCTGGCAAGTAAAGTACGCCATTCATTGAGGTTTCTTGCTATAAATGGCATTTAGTACCGCAGTCCATTCCCAGTCTTGGAATCTGTCCTGAACCTCTTTTTATATGTGTTTGTGTCTCTGTTAGCTGCTCTCCTTTTATGAATGTGTGATGCCTCTTTCTGCTTTTTCCTCTATTGTGTCTTTCTTAACTTGTCTCTTTCTCCCTTCTTACCTCTGTCATCTGCTGTCACTTTAGGTCTGAGGTGGAGTTGTACGCAAACCTTCCACGGAGGTAGTTATAAACACCTACAAAGACACAAACTAATGAGAGACACGCACTGAAAAACACACACACAAACAGAGAGAAAGAAAGAAATTCTTACTGTGTGACTGTCTTTGCTTCCTAACCTTTCTTCCTGTTTCCTCCTTTTTTTCAGTCATAGTTTTGACATTTCTTGTGCTTTGTCTGTTCTTCTCCAAGACTTTGCGATAGTAATGTTGTTGCCACTAAGATGCAAAACTTGAAGCCTTTTAAATATTAAAGTGCTTGTTTGTATAAGTTATCAGTTCTGCAAAGTATTTTATCCTTTATCCATACATTCCCTGCACCTAATATATTTTTGAAAAATCATGCCTACTCTCTCCCTCTCTTTCTGTCTCCCACCTCTCCTCCACCCTCCAAACATCCTCCTCATCGCCTCAGCTCCACCAAGAGGAAGTCATTAGATGACAGTGAGCTGGAGAGCCCCACAGATGATGTTTTCTACCCTGGACGCTCGCCTGCTGCCAGTTCCTCCCAGTCCAGTGCGTGGCCTAACGACATGGATGCAGGTACCCCCCCCGCCCCCCATCCCACCCTACACTAGTCACCCACTAAGCAAGCATTATGAAACTTTTTTTCATGCCTGACCCCGATGCCTCCACCTGATTTTCTCTTCTACACACTCCCTACCTCAATCACCTGCCTTCACTCTGTTGATGTACACATCCCTGAAAACCTACAACTCACCCACCAGCCACCTTTCTCAAGGCCCTGCACCTCCTTCTGACCATTTTACACTCTAGAGAAACAGCATCACCTAAGTCTGCAGCTTCTTAATAAAAAAGAGAGACTAACAAACAAAGATGGTTTTCCTATGAGAGTCAATTGGTTACAGTTTCTAGCAGTATAAAGAAAAGCACTCCCTGTCATATATTTAAGCATATAAACCATGTTGAATTGAAATAGAAATGTTTAAAATTATGTGCTTTTGTCAGATTAGACAAGGACCTACATACAACTGCCAAAGTAAAGGAGACTTAGATGAATAATAAAAAGCCGGGTTTAGGTCTAGTCAAGAAAATAATGTAATAACAAGGCAATAAAGCCATTACACAATCATCACCTTGAACGTGTGGTGAGGCTATTTAAGACTGATTAGAATAGTCTCTTCCTCTATTGTTAAGGAAATATGTTTAAAAGCGTCAAGATGTTTTAAATTACAGCCTGTGCCACTGGCCACCATTCTTTCAACACCATCACTACAACCCCAGAAAAATTGAATTTATCATGGATAAATTGTGCTAAATGCAATCCACCAAATAGCTCTAGACATCAGAAATATAAATGCCAAGATGCATCAAGGATGAAAAAAGAGCTTACAGCTGCCTGTATTAAGGCTTTATGCCAGTGTTTCTATTGTTTTGGCAGTAACCACTACCTCTGCCATTCAGCTTTGGACATTTCCCTCTTTATTCTACCTCCTATTATGAGTCCTCACTCACTTCACTTGAGACCCCACTCTGAAATCTCAAGGCTTCATATTTACTCATCATCACCTTAAAGTTTACCTGATGTTGTGTTGATTATCAGTCACTCACTACCCCCATCATACACAAATATAACTCTCTCCCTTTCCCCCTTTTCTCTTTCATTATCTCTCCCTCTCTCTCTCTTTCTCTCTCTCTGTCTCTCTCTCACTCTTCCCCTATCTCATTGTTAACAATACCCTTCTCCACTTTCAGTGCAGCACCATTTGGCGAGTGTGCAGGAGAGGAAGATAAAACATGAAAACGATGGCGTGCAGTTTCCTTACCATGGTTAGAACAACATTGATTACACTCATTTATTTGCTATTTATCCGCCTTTATGTAGCTCAGTCATTCCTCTGTGTATATGTGTGTGTGTATAATATAATATATACTGTATGTGTGTGTGTTTATATGTGAGTTGTATGACAAGCGTAGTGCACCAAATATGATTTCATTGCTGCTGATCAAATTTATTTTATTGACATTACATTTCCTGTGACGTACAGTGGCGGCATTGTCAAGAATTAAGTTCAGGCTTTACTTTCTGTTTAAGACACGAGGCTACAAGTAGCTCACCGAAGATCCCTGGCTTTACGGCTCTGAACTCATGTCAGTCCTCCCGGCGGCATTTTAATTGACAGATGTCACCAGGATAACACTGACTAACACCTGCAGCACATTCACACGCTGTGCCCATTCTGCCTCACATGCCCAGGGACTCGCTCATATTCATACAAACATGCACATACGTATACTGTACACACACACACACACACACACACACACACACACACGCGCGCAATGACTCACACACTTACAACCCCCTTCATATGCAGACGTTCACACATTGAAACACACGCTCATCATGCTCCCCACCCCTGCAGGTGTTCAGGTGCCCGCCTAGCCTCCATCCCTCTGTCGCTCCATCCCTCCCTTCCTTCAAATCCCTCATTAAGACGCTTACCGTCTGTGGATCAGAGGTGTAAAACCCTTCCTCCTGCTCTCTAGCTCTCCCTTCTACCCTCCATCCCTGTCTACCTTCTGTCTAATTGAAAACGTGTACAGCAGGAGGGACCCCGGGGAGGGAGAAAACATGTCAGAGGAGGAAAAAGGAGGAGAGAGAGGCAGAAAGCAGGCAAGTGGTTGGGAAGTGGGAGGTAAAAAAGGGAAGAGAGGAAAGAGGAAGACTTTGGTGTACTCAAATGTTGATCGCTAATGAGAGAGAAGAGTTATCAGGATGCAAGCTAGAGGAGCCAAGAGCCCTGGTTAGGTTTTGCCCCAGTCTACTCTCACTCGAGCCTCAGCGGCTGCTCTCCTGCTCCACTTAGCTGTAAATGTAATTAAGAGGCTGCTCATCAGAGCCACAACAGAGACTGCTGCACGCCTTAGCGCACCAGAGCCTCACCTCCCTTCTTTTTCCTGTCTCTCTCACTCTCTCTTGCTCTCAGTGAATGTGTACCACCCCCTTACTCTCCAAAGTGCACCACACACAGCCTTGCACACCTCCAAATGAGTTTGGCAAATAGAGGTGTAGAATAGCGTGCAAATCTGGTGCCTTTACGCAATTAATTTACAAAATCCAAGTGTAAAATTGGGAAGCCAAAAGCTTTTGTAATTATCAGTCGTTTTTGTGTGTTGGTTTGGGAATAGTTTTTAACAGTAGCTAGCACAAAACATGTTACACACTCAATAGAAGCCAAGGCAAAAAAGGAGAGATTGAGGTATGAGAGAGCAAGGATGGAGCGAGTAGAGAATGTGTGAGTTTTGGTGCGGTGTGTGTCCAATTTTCCAAAGGATCCCACCTGCCACAGGCAAAGCTCATCTGGGAATTCCTGTCCAGGTGGGGGGTATGTAAACAAGCAAGCACACACACATACAAACCAAGGGGCTTCTAAAAATATAGAAAACACACTCACACACAGGTGCACCGTCTGTCCACAGCCCCATCTACTCCCCCTGACTCCCTCTATAACTAATAGAACGCACACATCCAACAGCACACACACACACACACACACACACACACACACACAGATGTATGAAGATGCATTCACACATATAAATAACAGAAACACAGTTACGTTCAGAATATACACACACATCACATAGCCCACACAGACTCACACACACACGCACAGCTGAAGCATGGACCCAGATGGTGTTTCCGTGTGTGTGTGTAGCCTTGGGATCCATGAGGATGCTGGAGACATCTGCTCCACAGGGGTTAGAAGAGGGGTGGGGGAGGTTAGTGGAGGCAAACGAAACAACCATGATTTCACATTAGTTCCAAATGATTGTGAAATTTTCCTGAGACACCAGAGAATTGTGGTGGTGGGGGCCTTTTTGGTTCTTTGAGTTAAATGTTACAGTTCCATAGAGGGATAAGGCTGGACTTGCATATGTGGCTTAAATCACCGGAGACAGGAGAGTTCCCTGACTTTCCTTTCCACTTGTTTAAATCACTATCTCCCAACTATGTGTGCGTGTATGTGTGTGTCTGTCTGCGTCTATGTGTGCTTCAGAGGCGCATCTGGTGGCAGGCCTGTTAGTGCAAAGAGACAGAAGGGTCATCATGGGAGCGCTTGATTGGTTGCCAGTGAAATACGAAGGCTTTGCCAAGAGAAGAAACGGTGCAGTTGTGGCACACACACACATACGCACACACAGACCAGATCAGACCATTGCGCAGTCTCTGAAGTGCCGAAATATGGTCTTTCACGTTCCCTTGGTGATGATGACAGTGCTGTATCTTCCTATATATACAGATGTCAGTCTTCATCTGATCTTCTCTCTGTTTCCTGGCTCTGATTTCTATACTTCAGATTACTTTTATACTTCCAGAATAAAAGCACATAACTACCTTGCTGAAACCATAACTGCTTTTTACGCTTTCTTCCAAATCTCAGTCTTTCCCAGCTCTCCCCTCCAGTGCCTTTCCTTGTTTAAGTCTCTGCAGACTTATTTCCTTATTTCCAGTTTGCTCCCACCAGTGTGACAGTGTCATAGCAATCAGTGCTAACTATTGGTGTCAGAAGTGGGATTGGGGTTGTCTTCATGCTTGGAATCTGTCTGACAGTACAATACGCCCCCAGAAACCCGGTACAGTTGGATGGGGGGGGGGGGGAATATATGTCTGCTAAAGACATAAATGGTTCACACATATTCACTCCCACCTGCTTGAGACTTAACTCTTTCACACAGGGAGGGAAGGTTTTACACGCCCCCACACTCCCATAGACTTTCACACGTCTCCAGCTGGAGAAGTGAGGAGGAATCATATTTAATGCCTTGTTTGATGTGGAGGGGCCACAGAAATAGACTACAAAAACAACAGTCTAAAAAAAGTTTAAAAAGAGAACATTATCGCATCACTCACTTGTTTGGAAGATTAGAAGAAAACTTAATGGAAAAGAAATGTGTCTATTATTTCATCAGTTAAATATGGCAGTGTTGTAAGGCTCTCTTGTTTTTTGTGATTGGACGTGTGCTTGTGGTCTCGAGTGTGTTCAGTCGTCGAGCATGTGAGTGAGGGTGTGTGAGCGAGAGATAATAACCATATTTAACATCTTATGACATTCCAATTTCATACATGTCGTCAGAGCAACGCATTGGAAAACAAGATACTGCTGCATTTTTCACAGGTTCTGCTTTGCTCTCTCGCTCCCTTGCTCCCTCGCATATTTTCATGTCTCCCACGTTCTTCTCGCCTCTTTCTCTCTCCCTCTTTCTCCCTCTGTCTCTTCTCTCTGTCCGTCTGCTTGTCTTTCGCACTCAGCAGCTGCCGTGTCCATACTGTACAGTGTGTGCTATTTCTGAATGAAGTCTTCTTCTCGTGCAGCCAGCCTGTGAGCTTCGCTGAAGCCAGACCACAACTAGCTGACTGTGGCCGTATGGCGGCTGTGCTCATACACAGAGAGAGCCTGGAGTTGGCACCTGAAAGAGAGAGAGAAACAGAGAGAAAGAGATGAGACAGAAAAACATACACTGGCACAGTAGAGGTTATTATAGCTACAGATGTGCTTTGGCTCTAAAACAAAGACCAGATTCAGATTGGCTTCAGCTATTTTTCCACATTTTCCTTTGAAGACGTGCACTTAGGCTTTGAAATATTGCTTAGCCTATATTATATGATTATAAAGCTGGGAGTTGGGAATCCTACAGTATATCTCAGAATGAGTTATTACAGCCTAGAGTCCTCTGATTGACTCATAGAAACTAACAGGAGTAAATGGCCAACAGCCAAAAGGACAGGGAGCAATGCGCTGCCGTCAACCAATGAGGAAATTCAACAATCTAATCAGAAAATCATGATTGTTCAAGTCCCCTTCAAGAAAAAATCTAATTGATTTTTTTTTTTTTTTTTTTAGTGTTGCCAGTTCAGTAAGCAACATTTTGTTGATTAAAACCACCTCTCTCTTTTCCTCCCTCTTCCCCCCCACTTTTTTTTTGTTGATCCCATTTTTTTTTTCGCCAGGACTGTCCTCGCCTGGTTCACTTAAGAAGCCGGGGAAGTTTGATTTCAACGCCCTGACTTCCCAGACGAGGTCCCCCCGCATGGCGTTCACACACCACCCGCTGCCTGTGCTGGCAGGAGTGAGACCAGGTGAGAGCCCTGCCATGAACCCAAACCCCCCCCCCCTTTTATAATCTGAAAAAGAGAGAGAAGGAAAGGAAGTGTCAAACTTGATCCATACGTACACCCCCAAACTCCTCTGGAAACAAACAAAATAAATTCTACAAGCGTGAGCCTGAAAATGATGAAAGTCCCAAATGTACTTGCTGAGAAAGCAAAATAAAACTTTTAAATCCTACAGTTGCAACTGCTGAGAAGCAATATGCCCGCAGAGTTTCATCTGTTCAGTGTTACTGCTATCATCATGGCTTGGCATAAATTTCTCTCTCTCTCTTTCAGCCTCTCTCCATCCATCCATTTTTACCACCATCTTTGTGGCTGTGTGTTTTTAATATTGTCATTGCATGGTACCATTTCTGCATCCATGCCTTTGTTTATGATTTGCCTCATATTACTGCTTAATGCATCCATTGTAATGTTTTTACATGTTTTTAATGTTTTTCAAGTCCGCTCTTGCATTTAAACTGACAAAGCTATTTATTCTCATAATGGAGTTGACGTACCAAATGGAGCTATCCGCACATTTAATATTTTAATTTATCTTGTAATAAGACCACTTATATGTACAGTGCATAAGATCAAGACCTTTTTATTGTCAAAACAGCTACCAAGGAAAAATTTGAAATGAAAATATGTATGTAAGATGTATTGCCTTATAACGGAAAGAAGACAACAAATGACCAGTAAAGGGACAATGTATCCATGTGTGTTTTGTATGGTTTGTTCTTCAAAAGATGTGTTTGGTCAGCTTTTCTTGTTTAGCTTTTCTTGGGCGTATAGAGCAAATACAGATTTGAAAAGGAGTAGGAAGAAGTAACAGGGATTAATTTAGTATCTGAACCCAATGCAGTGCACATGCAAACTGTAGTAAATACAAGTCTTTAATTAACAAAAGTAACATCCAGTGTTTCAAGGTCTTGTTTCATTAGTAGCACTAAGGGCAAGTTGTCCTCATAAGAGCTATTCAGTCCTATAGGATAACCGACATGGTTTCTCCATCTCCAGTCAAAGAATTCCCAAAGTCTCCAGGATCTCAAGTTTGCCAACAAGTCCCTGTGGGCTGGTCTCACTTTTCAAAGGAATAAATATGTCCTCCTCTCTCTATCTCTCCCTCTCATTCCATTTGTTTCTCAAAGGAATGGTTTGGTCCACAGCCAAAGCAGACCTACAACGTAAAGGTCATTTGGACTCATTGCCCTCCATGTTGAAACCTATTGAATTTTACTTGCGGAGCTCCCCACAGTATATTTAGAAAATATAGTGAAGGCCGGATCTTGCACCATTAAGCCATGTTGTTTATCTGCACAGAGCAGTCCCATACCCTCTGGAAAATCCAAAGCACCAGATTGGATTTTGCATTTGAATTGATTTCTAAAATTTGCTTCTCTGTTTTGTCCATGAGTTGAAGAGGTGTGAAGGACTGGCTCAGGTTTCTTTGTTCCCCTACTAACTTCTCCACACACTGTGTGTGTGGACGGTTGGCTAAGAGGTTTTAATGTAATAGAGAGGCCGTAATGAGACAGTGTTTAGACATTGTGTATGGGTGCATTTGTGCACGTACCCACAGACACACACACATGCGCGCATTTGTAAATTTACACTCTTGTGGAGGACTCTCTGTGCTAAAATGGCTGCCATCCAAATGGAATGTCCCTCGGAGGCCTTGGTTCTATAAAGAGACTGGAGGATGATGGGAGGGAGGGATGAAGAGAGGGATGAAAAGAGAAATGGGGCTAGACAGAGAGGGGAAAGAAGCAGTTAGCAATCATGGCCTGCCTTGGATGGACTGGAGCTGTTAGCTCTTGTTGTATAGGTCTAGTGAGTGTGGGTGTTCAGGGGTAAGGACTGGATGGTTTATGTTCTGTTTTTGGCTCCGGACTGACGTGGAGAGCTGCCAGATTGACTGCTGTCTGATTATACTAGTCTGGAGAGTCCGCCATTGTGACGGTGATTACACACACACATACACATACACACAAACCGATATATGTACAGACACATGAAAGCTGCAACATTCATTAGCAACATATTCATACAGACAGACTCCAAAAACACTTGCAAACCAAGATACTAGATACACAGATGCACACCAAAAAACACAGACACAAAATGGTCGACACACTAATACTCCACAGAAAGTTTGAACGAACAGCCACTTACCCATTTTGTTAGTACAGCATACACAAGAGATAGTAGGTGACAGACATAATCACAGATGCTTGTTCGCCAGGGTCCCCTCACCTAGCAGCTTGCCTCTTTAGTTTGGTGTGCCAAATTGCCAAAGCCATAGAATCTCAGCAGAAGACAGACAGTGGAGGCTAGTCTCTGTGCGCATGTGTGTGTGTGTGTGTGTGTGTGTGTGTGTGTGTGTGTGTGTGTGTGTGTGTGTGTGTGTGTGTGTGTGTGTGTGTGTGTGTGTGTGTGTGTGTGTGTGGGGTGGGCTGGCTGGCTGGCTGGCTGACTAATGTCTCCGGGAGGCGTTTTGTGGTCGGTGGGGAGCGGAGGGGTGATTCTCTCTCAAGCTTCAAACTACTGGGCAGAACCGCAAAGCAAGGATATGCTGCTGATTGATTACACATCATCGACAAGCAATAAAACAAAAGTGAAAAAACCCAGTGTGTGTGAGGCTGTGTCATACCCCCGTGGTTTGTCTGTGTGTGTTTGAGAGTGAAGGAGAATGGAGAGGGAGCAGAAGGCAAAAAATACTGTAACACACTCTAGTGGGTATGGTACTGTGAAAGTGTGTGTGTGTACTGTGTAGTGATGCCAGGCTTACCAGAGGTACAGAGAAATCTAGTGGGCTGATTTATAAAATGAATGGGACCAGATGTTTCCCAATAGCCAGGGATAATGCCAGTCATTTGTAAGCAGAAACAGCTTCAGTCAGTCGACCACAAGAGAATGTCACAGCTATTTTCTGTGTTACGACAACAATAGGCCTAACCGGCAACCTGGGCTTTTTGAAACATATGCATGTTGTATATCCCTTCATAGGTCTGCATGTTAATGTACTGAATATCATGTATGCTTAATGTCTGTGCTGTGATTCACTAGAAAAGAATATAATGACCTGAGCCTCATTGCATTTTTCCATCTTTTGGTCTCCCTCCCATCTTCTCCTCCTGTTCCTCTTTCTCCTCTTCTCTCCCATTCCTGTTCCCTTTCCCCTTTTCTCTTTTCTCTTCAGGGAGTCCCCGTGCCTCAGCCTCCGCCCTGCACTTCCCCTCCTCCTCTATCATCCAGCAGTCCAGCCCGTACTTCACCCACCCCACCATACGCTACCATCACCACCAGGACCCGCTTAAGGAGTTTGTGCAGTTTGTGTGCACTGATGGCACAGGACAGCCCAGCGCACAGGTAAGTGGTCTATTGGGTTCAACAAAAGAAACTGAAGGGAGAGTGGTTTACACTGATTAGAAATCAGCTTCTTTTTGGGGAATTCACTGAAGAAGATGCAGAATGAAAATCAGCATCAGAATGACTGCTCCATAATTTCATATCTTATTTGTTAGATGTACAGGTGCAACAAGGTGAGCCTAGACCCGGGAATAGAGATTTCTTTATTTTAAGTGAAGGAGCCAAACCACATTTCACTCATCATAGGCTCAACATAAAATGTGATAACTTCTCCCACAGTTGTGCTCAGGTTGAGGGAGGAATATCAGAAAAGGGGCATGTATGGCCTGAGTAAAACTGGCAAATGGCAGTGGATTCACTGTAGGGAAGCAAGGCTGCAAACTTGAAAGAGGCTGATAGAGGGTGTGTAGACAGATCTAGATTAGCGCTGTCCATGGAAGGAGAGCAGCCCTCATTGACATGCTGCCATTTTAAGCAACGTTCCTTTTACAACACTCAATGATGTGATGTTCTCTCAGGGGGCACATCTTTCCCAGTCTGTATTGTGATCTTTAATTTATAATTCTCTGCATTATGAGAGTGCATAGTGGAAGATAAGCAATATAACAAAGTAACCAAAAATATTATCTGTTAAACATTTATGTTAAAGTAACATGACAAACTTTCAAGTGCAGAGGGGGAATTGAAGAATAGCTTTTAAAACGTGTCATGTGTCAGATGAAGCCAGTGAGAGGTTGTGGAAAATGCTAACTGGGGCAAGGGGGGGGGGGCGGTTCTGTGACACAGTTCTTGAGGTGTCATGGGCCTAATTCCGTGAAACATTAGTGAGAGAGGTGCCTCCTTGATAACCTCAATAACTTTACCGCACTCACTCGACTCATCCCGAAAGTTTACAAACATTAAAATGTAGGCACAGCATACATCTGACTGTCAGCTGGTTGTAAGGGGACATTTCAGAATTATTACGACACACATTCAGCCGGGTGTTGGTAGTGCTGGAAACCTCTACTGTAAACTTGGCCTTGTGAGCAACTTTGAAATCACTTATTAATCCCTTTTTCATGTCCTTTGTTCTCATCACTTCACACACTAAAGACACAATATAATGCGTGAAACTGCTCATGCACTATGCACACACAGACACCTTTCTCATCTCTAATTTTCACTTTTTTCAATTCTTGCATTGCACTTTAAGTAACTTTCCTTGTGGACACAAACACATTTTTATTTTCCCCTTGTGTGTTGATGTTCATCATTTTTCCACTTCTTATTTACCTCACTGTTTTTGGCCAGACTGTCTGATATTTGTGTTTGTTTTATTTTAAAACTGTGAGTTTGGTGATTTCTCTTGTCCCTGTGTGTGAGCAGTTGTGTGTTTTAGTTTGTCTGATGTACTTCAGACTACTTATGTAGAGACTGTTCGCATCTATCTATATATAAGTGTCTTACCCTTACATGGGACACTGTGTGTGGGGCTTTATGTGTGTGTGTCTGGCTCCCTGTGCACTGTATATTCTCGGGGTGTGTCCTGCTCACCCTGTCTGTATGGTCCGTCTGCAGCCTAATGGAGGTGGCCAGAGCAAAATGCCGGGCTCCTTCCTGCTGCCTCCGCCACCCCCGGTGGCGCGCCCTGTGCCCCTCCCCATGCCCGACTCTAAAATCATCAGCACGCCCACTGACGGCGGACTCAGCTCACCCGCATCTCCGTGTAAGTCACCCCCGACTCCCACTCCCCTCCACAAATCCCCATTACAGCCCCAGTCTCCCCACACTTCTCACAGAGGCCAGTCCGAACCGATTTTAGGCTGCAGTAGTTAGTTCTTAGCTGGCAGCTAATTTGTCCTCCCTTCCAAGCAATAATACATCAAGTGTGTTAGGCTAGCACAGATGTAGCCATCATAAAAGTCCCAGTATTTATGTGCAGTGCAGCTTTTTTCTCTAATCTTGCAGTACCACGACTGAAAAAGCACAGGTCTGGACTTCTACAATGGCTACTGCTGTAGTTATTCATAGTTTAGCTGACCGCCTGCTTCCAGTAAGGTTGCAGTCTGTTCAGTCAAACCCTCAGCAGCCCCAGGAGCTTCACTCCTATTTCATCCATCACATTATGGACAGTACGCCACGGAAATGTACTGTACTGTACTAGCAAGATCCAATTCTGTCAAGGCAGAAGCCACGCCTTTGCCAAACCAGAGATCCTCTTTCAAGCTCTCCTGTATCTCTTGCTCTGAAGTTCAGTCTTCTTTTCTCTTTTCATGTCTTTGCAAACCTCCTCAGCCTCTTTCCTCCACCCTTTCTCTTTCCTCAACATCTTTTTACTCTCTCTTTTGCTCTCTCTCTCTCTCTGGTGTTCGGTTTCCTGCAAGCACCACAAGAGGCAGTGTAGTCTCTCTCCCTTCTTTTTGATGTGTTTTGTAGTTTGGGGGGGAGCAGAGCAGGGCCCTGTGCACGTTGCCTCTGTAGCCGCAAGCCTTTGATCAACGCAGACTTTGCATGTCTGTCTGTGACGGCGGCAATACAATCTACCCCCTTCTCTTATTTCTTTTTTGCCTTCCTTTCTTTATTTGATATATTCTCATATCCTCCTTTCTTTGATTCTTTTTTCCTTTTGTTTCTCTCTTTTTTCTTTTTAAGGGAACAAAATTAGGGCAGTTGGCGTGGACTCCAAAAAAAACATCATGCCCCATTTTACCCACCCAATCCCCTCGCCACTTTCACACAAATCTCACAACAATTAAAAATTGAGAACAACAAAAAACATGGAAATCACAGTATAACAAGAACATCCCAATCTCTCTAAACATGAATGATGAAATCTAATCAAACCTGTCTAATTAGTGTTATACTGGGGGAGCGGGAGAGAGGAGTGTCATCAGGGAGCGGTGAGGCTTTGGTTGGTTCCACCCAGACAGGTGCAGTGCGAGAGTCGGGCCATGGGAGAGGCACACCAAGAGGGGGCACTGGACGGAGCAACTGGGGCACCTTCTCCTCCTTTTGTTTTGACTTTTTCTCCTCTTCCTGTCCTATCAACCTTTCATCCCCTCCCCCTTCCAACTCTCTCAGATTAACATATCACTTTATTATTTATTTATATGAACATCTATATAAATAAATATCGTACTTTACGTCTCTTTTCTCATTCCGGTGACTGTTATCACTGTATTTTGGTTTTTTTACCCCCTCTAATTTTGTCTCTGATTATCAAGATATCGTAATTACAGTCAACACACACACACACACACACACACAAACACACGCATATCGCATATATCATATGGTACACTCTCACCCTCACCCATGCATCAGTTTCCAGCCCTGTCACTGTCACCCCCACACATACCCATCCCCTCAACCTCAATCAAGTCATGCACAGTAAAAGTTCTACTGAGCCGCCATGTTGGAGTCCAGTGAGCACAACTGCCCTAAATTTGATCCTGTGACATCACTGAACGGTGTCAGCTTTGTAGGCAAGATGCTGCTCTTTACCTAATAAATGTAAATGGAGCATTGGTTACCACTGGAAGTGAATACAGTTTCTCCATCAGTCACCCTATTATTAAGTCTACAGTGAATCTTCAGTGGTTTTCTATGATTACGGTGGCTTATTACTGATGCCAGGGGCTGCTGAGGAGTGTCTGTGACTAACAGCGCAGCCATATTTTGGGGAAATAGCTTCTTCATGTTAGCGCTAATCATTACAGACTGTAAATCCCCTTGTTGACCACAGATTAGACGGTTAAGTGAAGGAAAGTAAGAATGACCTGCCCACAGAATGAGTAAATCATCCATGTGACTAATGGGGCATCAGTATGCCTGACCCTTACTGTCTTCTCCCAGTAATGTATTTGACAGTGAATTGTAGTTATAGTTTTTATATAGCAAGATAATATTATATTAAAACATATAGATAATGATAACGAGAGCATCAAACTCTACTATGAGCTCGGTGTGTATGTGTATGTGTAAAAGCATGTACACACTTGTCTCTCTCTGTTATAGCATACTCCACGCCAGGCTCCACAGCTCCCAACCGGTTTGTCGGCATCGGAACACGGGACAACTTTCTGAATATCCCCCAGCAGACTCAGGTACCCCGCCAACCTCCCTCATTTAATAACATTCACCCACCCGCCTCTCCCTCCTGCTCTTCCTCCTCTGTTTTTTATGCCATTTTCTTCCTTGTCCCTCATCACCCACAGATGATACTTTACAGCGCTCCGTTACTGTAGGCATCTTCAGGTTTAATGGGAGAAGCACGTCATTCAGAGCGAAGGCTGTGATACAGAGGCAGTACTCAGAAAATGGCTCTGCATTGGCACCCTGCTACACTCATGTCAGCAGTGTTGAATGTTTTGCCTTTGTTGTCATTCATAACTGTTACATCCATCATTTAGCCAAATCAGTTCCACTTAGATGCTTTTTCCAGAGCTTTCAACCACAGCACACAGTCTTAATCAGTGGATATGGTAGCTCAGTTTAAATTGAGATAGATGTGTTGACATGCAAGCTCAGTATCTGTTATAAGGAGGAGATGTTAAGCTTGCATGTCCATGAAAACATGAAAAAATGAGCAAACTCATCTGCTAATGAACACGGTGTTATATGGTTGAAAGCCCTGGAAAAAGCAAGCAAGTGGACCTTGAATTGGTATTGTTTAGTCAAACTAGTTCCAAGGTTAAGAATCCATGTCAAACCTTAAAAATGCTTTATTACAAGTTAAATCCAGTTTTTAAAGCTTCTTTTGCAAAACGATTGTGTTTGTTTGAGTTGACATTGAACTTGTCCACATCTCACACACTGCCATCTTTATAATGCTTGCAGAGTAATTTTATAATGGGACAGGGGGAAGAAATATGTCACAAGGACAAGATATTGGCGATAAATTGTTTGCAAAACTGCCCACCTACATTGACACAAAGTGTTGCCCATGTATCAAGGCCTTTAGTTTCAGTATTGGTTTACAGTGTCTGTACCACAGTAGTTTCCCCACAGTGAATGTAAGCAGTGCCAGTTAGTTTCAGCTCCAGCAGTGTTGATTTATCTCCGCTCGGCCCCACAGCGTGTATTAGTGCAGCGTGTGAGGCCAGTAGTGAACTACATTGTGGTTTCAGCTTTGGCTGCGCTCTGCCACTGGGCTGCAGTGTCTTGGGCCTCCTCCATCACCAACACAACTTTTCTCATTAGGGGCTAACCGCACCTGCCTGCAGCCAACTCGGCTCTCCTGTCCTTCCCACATATGGAAACAATCTGCATTCCTCCTCGGCACAGCTCTGCCCCCCCAACCACCACCACCTCATGCATCAGCAGCCCACCCTCCCTCTCTTTCTCTCTTCCTCTCTTCCTCTCTCCTCCTTCTGCTCCCTCTAGTATTTTCGAGCTCCCCACCTGCACCACTCTCCCACAGATGTAGCCCTGGCATTAAGGGGACATCCAAACACTATCCAAATGTGTGTGAGCGTGTACACACACACACACACAAACACAAAGACACACACGCACATATACTTCAGCTGTTTGCCAAAACTCTTGCCCCTCATTTTCTCTCCTAAAAAACAACAGGGCTTTTACAGCAACTTACATCTGTTCAGAACGCTTATTATCTCCTGTTATTGCTTATCAAACATTGTTGAAAAATGTCCACTTTGAATATTTCTGCCGAGTTTACGCCACACACAGCGAGAACCTGGCCACTGGTATCGACTGCTCCCAGTTAGCTGAGCCTAGTAGGTCAGTAACAACCCCAGCCAGAGTGAGTAACAGAGGTCTCTGCCTATCCTGCTGTTCACTGGCATATGGAGAGGTTCAGACGATGGCCCTGCCAGCCCGCCTAGCCGCCTGCTAGCCAACTAGCCAAGACAGAGGGAGAGAGTCTTCCCACTGCTGTCAGGACCAGAAGCAGAGAAAAGCTGGTCTGAGGAGCTCTCTGGTGGTGAGACCTCAGCCATGCAGGAAGAAAGAGGGAGATGGGGGGACGTGTATGAAAAAAGTAGGAGGGACTGAGAGAAACGGAGGGAAAAAAGAGAGAGGGAGTTAGTCGAAGCTCGCTGCACTCCACAGTCACGTCCCGGCTGTCTGGTTGCCCACAGCAACCAGACATGATGTCATAGGCAGTTGAACTTGGACTTGAAGGGGGGTTAGAGAGAGGGGGTCACTTTCCAGTGCCAAGGATTACACTGGGAGAGCCGGAGTGAGGGAGGGAGAGGAAAAGAGAAGGGGGTTAGGGGAAGTCGGAGCCAGGAGGAGGAGTTATCTGCAAACACCAAAGAATCATGGGTAGGATGGAGGGAGGCAGAGGTGGTGGAGGATAGATGGAGGTTAAGGGGGGTTAAAACTCTCTCTGGGTTTGCTAGAATGGGGGGACAACAGACAGTTTGCTGTTAAAGGTGGGGTGATTCGCTGTTCTCCACGGGGCTGAGGCCTGTGGAATGTCAGCGGCAGCCAAAACAGCTCGGCCTGTGCCAAAGCCTCCACTCTGCCCTCTTATCAAACTCAGAAACTGGATCCCTGGAGTAGCTTGCCCTCAATAGCTTTACAGTGTAGCCTGAGACCACTCAGGCCCACAGAGCAGAGACATATTAGGAGATCGCCTTACATGTAAACTGGTAGCGCATGGCCAAGCAGTTATAGTACTGTGTTTGCTCATTTGAAAGCCACTGAGGCCGATAGAAAACCTGCTGCCCTAATGCTATGTGTCGCAGTTGTAGAAGTGTTTTCAATGAGTTAAACGCCACAGTCAGCCCTCTTAAAAACAGCAAGTGGTGAAGTTAAGGTAGTAACTTTTTTGACACTGTATGGGACAGGTGAGCTCAGGAAGTACAATAAGTGAGGGAGAAAAGGAGTAGTAGGTGGCCACCTAGTGGATAAAAGATTACTTGTGTGTGTGTGGTTCCCAACACTTGTAAACCCTGTTAAACAAAGCAACCTCTTTATGTGACAGCTTGCATATGCCTCCTGGTTGTAAGCAGTTCAACCACAGATTAAGTGTATTTTTCATTTAGTTTTTAGAGTTCTGAAAATGTAAAATTATCCAGTAATTTGCTAGAAAGAAAGAACTTCTGAAAAAAAACCACAGAATTTTATGTTACAGAAATATGTTTTCTGAACCCTCAAATTTATTTTGTGAACCTTTGTGGGGCTCCTGACCCCAAGGTGGGGAATTACACCATGCTTTAAAGTCCACTGTGTAAGAGGCGGTTCTGTGTTCATTCCTTTTCATACTCTGTTACTGTATGTCCCACCACTTCTACCGCCTTCATTCATACCAATAACGCGTGTGTGTGTGTTAGCAGGAAATTTTCTTTTTTCCTTCTTTTTTTTTTTTTTTGCTCTGCAAGCTGCACCTCTAGACTGATGAGAGTCAAGACTTAATTTAAATGTAAATCTGCCAATGTTGTTTAAAGACTAATGTTTTCTTTTCTTTTTTCCCCACAGTCCTGGTTCCTCTGACAAGGCCTCTCTGAATCCAGAGCTAAAATTGTGTCATGAAAATTGGAAATTTGAATAACAAACACATCACCGCTGATTAAGAACAGACTGTTGACACTAAAAGGTCTTTCTCTCTCGCCAACACTATTCAAAGTACTACTACAGAACCCCACCCCAAGAGGACTCCCAATCCAACACAATTTGAACAGGAACGTTCGTCCCCCTTTATGCAGGAGGCTTCAGTGAGTTTGAGTGGACAGACGCAGAATGCAAAGAGGAAGATGGAACTGTCTCACACACACCATGAAATGTCAGAAAGGAAAACACAATATGGCAACCTGACAAATGACCAATTATACATTTGTTGTTTCTTTTTTTTAATGATTTTTTTTCTTTCATTTTGTTGTCTCCATAATGAAAATCCATGCATTGGCTGAGAGATCCAAAAAAATATATAATAGTGGTAAATGGTGTAGTCGTGTTGTTGAAAAGATTGCCACCCAAATTGCACGCCTCCATATCTGTGTATTTTTTTCCACGTACCTCTTCTCCAGTTGCATGGTCCCACCTGTTCCCCCTCTCACCCCACCTGCAGCTCAGTGCTGCCCCGGGGTCCAGACCGTAACCACAGCCACATGCCTGTGTGTCGCCAGACTTTGCCGCTTCATTCGCTCAGCCCTGAGCCTCTTTTCATTTCCGAGTGGCCAATCATGGTGACACCATCCGATGGTGTGACATATATGCACTAAGTGGCTGGTCTTTGTTTACCTGTCAAAGTATCAGGGCGTCCTGCTGTGGGAAGAGTGATAGCGTTGAGGCGAGTGCAAGCGAGTGAACACACGACAGACAGTCATAACACTAATTTTACATGTGCTCTTTCGTCCCCTCACCTATGCACTATTAATTTTTAATAAGGGATGAACAGTATTGCACATCGATGGTCAGACGAGCGATTAGAGAAGCGAGTCGAGGCTGGCTGCCACTGCAGGGATGTGGTCGTACATTCAAGTCTAGGCCCTGAAACGCAGCGCACATAACACACACACACACGCCTGCAAACAGCACATACAGTCTTCTCCAGAATAGTCTGTCACACAACCACTCGTAGTATCATTTTCTTATTATTAATAGGTATGGAATTTAATTTACAGTAATGCAAACGCAGCATCAGCTTCATATTATTAGCTTTAATTTTGTTTGTAGGTGCTCCTTTTTTTTGCCAGGATTGGTTTTGGTTTTGTCTCACTTGGATTGTTTTAACCATCTCTTGCATGTCATAACACTCTTTCTTTAGTTTGCCGTAGCACGTTAAGTATCATGCTCAAATCTCAGCGAAACAGATTTCAACAAAACGGTAACAGCAGTTTCTCAAATCTCTCACGTATGGACAGCACATTAACAACAGCTTATCACATGCATCTCTTGCATTGCTTCACCATGTATCCCTTAGTCCAGTCACACCGAAACCCTGAGGACTACAAGCGCGCACACATAAAATGCACACTAACACCACCAACAACCTGACAAAAAAGGGAAGCCTTTTATTTGGTTCTCCAGACTGCCTTTGTTAATGGTTTTTCATTCACTTAAGATTTGTCTTTTTAATTTGAGCTATTTTTCTATGTAAATGTTCACATTTAAATTTGCTATTGGTATTATTTTCATCATGACACAATCCAATAAAAGCCGACCTCACAAAATAACTGGACTGCCTAGCTGTTGGTTCTATTTTGCAGGGATAGTAAAGAGGGCTGAGGACCTGTCCTCAGCCTCTCTAGTAACATTAGCTCTATGTACTAAAACATATATCAAGACTATAACAATATATGAAAGTGCCTCTGTATTCCCTTCATGCAATTAGTAATAAACTTGACTTCAGGTTCTCTTCCCACATATAAGCTAAAGCTACAGGGAATGGTAGCGTTGGTGCGTGTGGAAACCATTGGCCGAGGACAGATCTTTATAGAGGACTGCAAACCTTTTTTTGTAAAGACAGAGAGAGAGAGATCTTATACATATATATTTATGATATATGCTCCTTTTTAACGTTTACTACATGAGCTGGTTGGCAGTCTAGTTATTTTCTGAACTCTCACCACCACCCCACCCCCACCACCCCAAACTTGTTTCAGTAACACCACCTTACTGTTAACTAGTACGGATCAAACGACACACGCCATCTGCAGCGCAGCATTACAATACCTAGATGAACATGTCAAAAATCGACAGTAGGTGTGAAGAAAAAAAAGTGTTTGTTTTTTGATGGAAAGTATTATTATTGAAAAATATGTGTCGATTGAGCCACGTGCAATGCATTGGGTAGATCATTGTGTTTGTCTGTTAGAGATTTTTAAGAAAGCTAAGAGAAAAGAGGAAAAAAAATGTATTTTGTTTCAAGTCCATAAGCTCCAGGACTCTAAACTAGAGGGCCATGAAAATCCTAGTCTTTGTAAGTTGGGGGTATTTGTTTTTATTTCCTTTGTCTCTTTTTTAATGTTTTATGTGTAATCAGTTGTTTATAAAATTGTGGGAGGGCTGAAGGAAAAAAAATTCTACACAACTTGAGAAACAAAATTCTCTATCATCAGATGAAAACTGGTGCTTTAACACTATAAAGTACACTCAGAACTATTGTAAATGAATGGTAATGAACAAAAATAACAGACCATTTAGGAAACAGCATTATTCCTCTCTCTATTTTTATCTTCTTCTATTTGTATTGAGTGGGGGGAGAGGTTCCTATTCCTTAAGGTTGTGACACAAAAGGCATTTTGGTTCAACCTTTAGAAGAAAAAAATAAAAACCTATTCTGTCAAGCCTAAGAAACTGTTCAGATAACATACCCATGCACTGCCTGAAACTCACCAGCAAGAAACAAGTCAAGCCTCCCAATTCAACTCATTTTTATCACATAAACTTGCATAAATACATGACAAGTTCCTCCTTTTACTGCGGGAGATGCTTCACATCCAGAAGTCTTTTATTCCCACGATCATCTTGATATATTTAGCTGGATAAATTTCAGCAGGTTGTGTTGAGACCCACATGCAATGGAAAGAGTATTAGGTTTGAACCTTCTGTCTCCTGCACAGATAACAAGACACCGAAAAGGGGCAAAAAAAACATACAAGGTAGCTTCGAATCAGGCAAAGATATGACGTCTGAACCATTTATGAAACAGGCAGCAAGGTGAGCCTCTCCCCTCCCCCCCCCCCCCCCCCCCCCCTCTGTAAATGACTCTTATAGTGCTTGTGCTGTAGTGTATAGTTTCCCAGCAGTTAAAGGTTGTCCCTTAAAAGTGCCTTTTGTTCACAGACTCCATTTTGTAATCCAGATCGCCCCTTTTTTTTCGAAATGGCTCGAGGTAACAGGTTGCCCCTGAGTGCTGCGAGGAGGTGAAAAAGGCCGTAACCCATTCAGCGCTCAGGGACGTTCCCCCCCTCTGCCTTCGAAATGAATCCCCCTCCATTGTACCTCCCCTATATCCTCTCTTCCTTTTCAAAAGCCGTATATATATATATATATAATATATATATATAGTACAAAAGGAAACTGGTGTGAATTAGTTCTTTACTTTTTATTGATAAATGATGACAAAAAAATGTTTTGAAAAGGCAAAAAAACTTGTTCTCGTTCAGCTCTTGCTTTTTTCTTCCCCTCTGTCTCCACTGTCTGTTTTCTCTTAGACACTGGAGTAGTCTGTAACTGTGTGTCCGTCACTCTCCGTCTCTCTCTCTCTCTCTCCTGCCCTCTCCACTGTTGAAGGTGAGGGTGAAAAAAAAATTGCCGAAAAACTTTTGTCTGAGCAGAATGCAGTTAGCTCACATGTTATTCTTGTCTGTATGCTTCACATTGTATTACCCATACCCATCTTCTTCAGCTTCTCCATTCAACAGCTAATGTAAGTGAACAAATTACGCTGATGGGCTTTCGGGGGTGTCCTTCGGTGGGTTAGGACGGGATGACAGGGGTTTGGGTTGAAGAGGTTTACAGAGAAGACTAATGGGGTCGAGAGAGCTGGATGGACTGCTTTTGGGATGTTAGAAAGAGGCTGCTTTGACTTGGATAATTTGCTCTTTTTGTTTTAGCTATTTATTCTTGGCTTTGTTTTTACCCCCCACCCCACCCCTTTTTTGTGTTTCCTTTTAATTTGGATTTCTTTTCATATTTGCTATCAGGGTATGCTGTCTTTTAGGCTGTCTTTGAGGATGCCTTGGACTGTAAATGAAAGCTACAAGCACCTTATAACCGGACTTGTCCTGCACGAGGCTGAAAGAGGGGGGTTGCATTTCCATGACAGATCCCACATCCAAACCAATCTTTTAAAGTGAAGTTGTTGTTCACAGTGGGTTTTCACATAGTGAAACCTTCAGCAGTATTAGCCATTTACAACACACCAACCTGACAGATAAAAGGCCAGCATGAACCTGAACTCAGATCTGAGGATTCAGGAAAGTCCCTCCATTTTTCTCCTCTGACCACCTCATGCTGGACTGCTCCGTATCTTTGTTCTGTTATTTTGTTCTTTATCTTAAGCGTGTATGGTTATTGGTGTAATAGGCAGCACCCTAGGCCCCTAACTCCCAGCTCTTTTACGCCTCTGTCTACGCCCTCAGCGCAGCACCACTTCTTTGTGAGAACACCCCCAGAGCTCTAGGTGAAATGCATGTGTTAATTACAGTTTCTTTTCCATAAGAAGAAAAACACAGTTTGAGAAGAGCAGCACCTGATTGAATAAAAAGGATGTTCTTGACTGTACCATCTTGCTGTGCCATGCCTTTCTTTATTTCTATAAACTGGAGACAAATCAGCTGTTAATAAGCAAATGCCAGTTTACTTGTGTATTGGGTAAATTGCTGAAATTTGTAACAGATTCATGCTTCCCAGAGGATGAATTGTAAGATTTAGCACCATCAGCAGGTTAAATATTTAATTTGTCCAATACTTATGCTAAACTAATAACATTCCCATCAGTCTCAGCAGTATTGTTTGATGCTAATTTGCAAATTTCATAATGCATAACTGAGATGGAGAAAATAGTAAACATAATACCTACTAAACATTAGCATTGCCATTGTTAGCATGCTTATGTTTGCATGATGCTCAAAGCACCAGTGTAAGTAGAGCTTCACAGAGCTGCTAGCATAGCTGTAGACTGTTTGTCACATCCTACATACAGACATTTTAAAGCTTTAACAATATAGCAGGCTCGAGTTTTATTTTTGGAAACATCTTGGAAAGTAAAAAAAAAAAACTGGTCTAAATGTGCATTTAAATACTTTTTTTTTTTTTTTTAATCCCGGGCATTGCAATTGTACATACAAATTATGTACTCCAATCTCACAGAAAATACCATAAATAAAAAGGTGTACCACGACTTTGTACATAATGTAGAGATATCCTCACTTTTGGCCTGAGTATCAGCTCTGGAACCAAACAACTCTGCAGAGATCATGAATCAAGATTCTGTTACTGCACAGCCTATTTTTCCACCTCAAATGTTTTCAGAAACAGTGATAGCGGCAGCAGCAGCAACACATCCAAGTGTAATCTGTCACCCAGCTATATGTGTTTTTAGGCTTAGTTTGGTTCAGAGTTTCTCTGAAAATTCTCTGACATTTCTATAGGCAAAAGCTCAATTCTCAGCTGTAAGTAATGAGGATAATGGTGACTGAAGCGTGTTACACCATGTTACACTATTTCATTGCATTTCACCACAGCATTTTCAAGTACTGGTAAAAGTAGATTCCTTTGTTTTTAAGTAAAGTTGCTCAGGGCTTCGTCTCATCCTGGTCCATCTGAACAGCTGCCTCATCTTGTTGCTCTGTCACCTTGAGACAGAAAGAAAAATTGACCAGTTATTTCTTATGTTGTATGTGATGTGGACAGTAAAAACAATGGAGTATCTACTTAAATATAATCTACCGGTGGAGCAGTTTCCTGCACTGGACCGCGTTTCTCTTCACTATCAGAGGGATTGTCTTTTTGTCCTTGTGATGATGGAGACTCGAGTCCATTTTGCTCTGGGAGCGGTGGTGAAGCAAGTGCATCCTGGGTGTTGGGAGATATCACAGTACGATCTTTTAGGGGTCTAGCACCAACATAAATCCAGATTATGGAGCAGACACTTACCTCTGCATGATGTAGAGTCTCCGGTGAAGGACTCGTTTCTTGGACTGGAGGGCATTGGCCAGAAATAAATGGTATTGCAGCATGTCCAGGGCACGGTGGAGGACCAGGCTGATTTCCACAGGGTGGAGGAGGGGGTGGCGGTAGTGGAGGAGCTGTGGCCTAAATGTATGAAGACTGACATTAGCGAAAGCAGTGAATTTTCTGCTTGGTCCTTTTGGAAATGTAAACTATGGTACTGGCATTGTCTGTTCACTCAATAATTACACATAAACAGGTTTTTAGGGCTGATTCTAATATTTTCTATAATAACTGTGTTTTTAAAGCAAAAGACAAATAGAGGACCCCAGCATCCAACCACAGGTTCTGACTTCAGTCTGAGGGAAGATACCTGGTATCATAAGGATGTGCATCGTTAGGATTTTATCTATACTACTACTCTTTTGATACTTATATTGGGTTTGGTTCTTTATCGATATCAGTTCTTTTTCATTTCTAAATAATTGCTTTTTAAAAAATAATAAAAAAAATAAATCAGAACAGGATTAGAAATTATTATTTAAAAAAGAATGAAAAACTCAGACGTCAGCATCAGTCCTTCCTCCTTTCTCTGTGGGAAAAGTGTGTGCTATGGGGAGTGACAGAGTCAAAGCCAAGATATCAAACATAGCTAGATTGCTGTGCTGTATTCACATGTGAATAAACTTTTCTATGTGAGGTGACTAACTGAAATTATTATATTAAAATGAAAGTAATATAGAGTTCTCTTCCACAATTACATACCTGCCTCCAGATCATAATATAGGGAGATAAAAATTACATTGAATAATTACAGAATAAATAAAATGTATTTTGAGTTTGGCTGGTGAGAAGTTTCTCTGATGCACGCTGGTTTGGACCCTGCAACTTTACTACTGACTAGTGAAATTTTAGCAGGTCATCATGTTAATAGTCATTGTGTGTAGGTTTTGAAATGTGTGAATTTGGCAACTGCTACAGGTAGAATTAAAAAACAACACCCACACCTCACTGCTGAAATTAGTAAGCAACCTATCACAAGTTCTCATCTCAGGGCATCATATACCGACGATTTGAGAAAGGAGGTACAAAGCGTAGTTATCGCACCGTCTCACAGAGATGCTTTGGGGCGTCCCGTACAGACCGGAAGTGCTAGTTATCTAGCAGTAGCTAGCTAGCTACGTTCGTGATAAAGGTGTTGACAGCCCCCCGAAGCCCCTACCCTTACCACAACCATCAGAAATGTTAGTACCTAAACCTAAGTCACTGATTTTATGCATGTCGACCCTACAGCTGCGCACAAGTAGGGTTAGCCTCCCTTGTGTTGCTGCAACGTAGCAAACGGGGGCGTTTTATACGGACGTTGAAGGGTACCTTTAGCCAGGCTTTAGCGTAAAATCGTTACGCTTTGTCACGCTATCTGAAAGCGTCAGTTATGACGCATTGAGATGAGAATGTGTTTTAATAGCAACACAGGACTTACTTACTTCTGTAGATATCTCAACAAAACAATACATTTACAACTCTGACATAATGTCAGAACTGTTACTTCACATTCTGACGATAATGTTTATTTTTTGAATGTTTTCAACTAAATTTCTGGATGTATATTACACATTGTACCTTTAAGTCCTTTAAGTGTATCAAATTAAACTACACAATATAGCAAACACCCAATGTATCAAAATAAACTTGTTTTTGTATTTCAGAGTACATTTCCAAGGGAGCATGAAATCATTTGAGGAGCTCCATATCCATGTAGATTGTGCTTGATCTATTCCTTCACCCAACACACTGATTCAATTGATCAAGTGGCCAAGCATGAGAGCTTTTTATATGAATCATTAAAAATTGTTAAACTAAAAAGTAGAATAATTTATTTTGTTTTCCATTGAGTTGTTTAGATCTCGTGAGATGACTACAGGAACACCTCTCATCCAAAGCACAGTGGGAAGCCCAATGAGTCTGTACTTGATGGAGAGTACTTCAAGATCAGTTACTAAAAATATTTACTAGACATTTTAGCTAATAAACAAAAATTAACTGTCCATCTGGGAAGTAATCTGGCTCCAAAGTACACATATATTGCAAGAAATTGAAACATGGAGCCACTGCTATCGCTCTTATTCCTGCAAGCGAGCAAGCTCAAATCTCTCTTCTCTCATTACTCTCCTTGTTACATCAATTTCTCTTCTTTGCTTGCTATTAGCTCCATGCAGGAAAACGATTTTGTAGCATGCGTTCAAATTAGACAATTGTTTATAGTAGTAGACAGATGTAGAGCCCTACATCACTGTTGTGGTGAATAGCTGTACATGGATCTATGGATTTATTTGAATGTGATATCAGGAGGCCTAGCTTATTACGTTACACAGTATAAATACAACGCGGCAACAGTAAGGCCAGGCTTCCCCGCGGGCAGGACTGTTAACGTTGATGATGCTGCCCGTCCGACACATGCAGGCGTTTAACTACTTAACGTTACACATTCTCATGGTATTCTAAAGTGTTATTATACCTCAGTTCTGAAATGGCTTTTGTCTTTTTGGCAATGTAAAATCAAATGACTAAAGTTTATAATATAAAAGCTAACGTCCCTAGTAAGCTAGCTTTGAAAACAGCTCGTTAATGCACACATCAACATCATAGAAATACATCAACCAACACGTTTCACCCACTTTATGCTGCATTGTCATGTCTCTCGGCCAGTGACTGCGTTGTCGACTCGAACAAACTTGGGCACCCAAATGTATTGCCCGCCCCCCTCTGACTCTGATTGGCTTAGCCTGACGATGACGTTTCTCCCGTAGCCTTAGTTGAAAGAAAATACAAAACAATTTCAATCAAATACAAAAGACAAAATATGGTTTTCTATTTTACTTTAAATTTCTTAACATATATATATTTAAATTTTAAAATTCTCTGATTTCATTCTGAATGTCTGAGGGGCATATCAATGAAGGCGGAAGTCTAGTGTTTAGCAAATCATATCAATTTCCGGTTTGTGTTTTTGTAAACACAAGAAGCCTACAAACCGAGCAGACACGCAAAAAATCACTTCGCTGTGACGGTTAAAATTTATGTCACCAGTAGTTTTATAGCTCAGAATTCGGCGTTTTTGACGTGAAGAAAGCGACGTCGGTTCTCCAGTTGATTTTCCGTCAGGCTCTTCACGGAATGACAAACAACAAACTATTAGCTAAGAGCTAACTTAGCTACGCTAACGTCAAGCCTGATCGTAACGTGTCTTGTCACCCCAACAACGAAGTGGACATTCTCATGGTGGCCTCAGTTCAATGGGGAACTGTCTGTTTTCACAAGGTGCGGATGACCTGTCGCTGCTGAACGAGTCCGAGGGGGGCAGTCTGCCCGGAGAGCCTCCGCCGCCCTACCAGGTGAGCTGCTGGGATTTAAGTTAAAGACACTCTGGGGATTTAAGAGCATGTCACCTCGGTAACTTTAATAAGTCATAACCATAGACTGTATATAACCATAGTGTCCATTAATCAGTGATTATTATTATTTATTATTCACACTATTGAGGTACCACAAGACGATGCCGTTCGTTAAGTTTATTTTATTTTAATATAGTAGTTAAGTTATTTTTCTCAGAGTTACGCTCGTAAGAAGAAGTGGACAACATAGTTTTTTTTTTTCATCAGAACCTCTGTAATGCAACATACACTATTTAAACTTTGGATAGTGCTGAAAATATTATTGGTAATTTGGTTATGGTAGCTGGTACAGGCATACTCACACTGTGCTGAACATGCAGGAAGGTTGAATCTAATCTTTAAAATATTGTTACAACCAAAGTCCTAGACAAAAATACCAAGACTTACACAACAGTGCTTTTATATCATCCAAATACTATTCAGATGGCCTGGTTCTGTTGTTGACAGAATCACAGAAATATTGCAGTGTCTGATTTCCTCAAAATGGCTTTCAAAACTTGAGTTTGCTGAGTCATTTGGAGGAAACCAGACACTGCATGATCTGGTTGACAAGTATCTGCCTCAGAAATCCAGTATCTGTCAGGCTCTAATGCAAAGGGGACATTGACAATTCCCCCCTTTGTGAAGACTCGCTTCATTGATGACGAAGGTTATTTTCTGTTCCTTCAAATTCAGGAGCGCATCCAGCCAGTGCCAGTGTACCATCCCACCCCAGGCGAGAGTCGTCTGGCTTACCAGCTGACCGAGGAGGAGCAGGTCCGTATTGCCCAGCGAATCGGTCTCATCCAGCACCTGCCCAAAGGCATCTTTGACCCAGGCTCTGACCCATCTGACAAGAAAGTTAAAGAGTGAGTCTTAAAAAACTCATTACAGTATTTGTTTTTGAGTTCTTCCCCTATTTATTTTTTTAAATGTACTTATTTGTTATTGTTTTGATAGATCACAATGGACTGGGTTAATTTTAGTAAACATTTTTAAATAAACCCGTAGTCAGAGCCTTTGGATAGATAGCTTGAGTGGGATCATGTCATATTGAAGGAATTAAGTGCTTACTGACTAAAATAACTGAGTCGACAAAATAATGCTTTGTATAACAAAATTGTTTATAGTAGTAGACAGATGTAGAGCCCTACATCATTGTTGTGGTGAATAGCTGTACATGGATCTATGGATTTATTTGAATGTGATATCAGGTGCTTATCTTATTAGTAAATTAGCTTCCAGTGCTTCAACATGAAGTAGTCTAAAATAAAGGAACAGTGTACCCCAAAATACACTTTTTTTAACATCACCTCACTCCTGTAAATCTCATCCTTAAGCCTATTCAAGGAAGATGTGTTTTGGGCAAAATTATGTAGTTATTTTATTAAAAAATATACATTTAATGATTTCCAAAATCATTACTTGACACACATTTTAGGTAAAGTTACCATTGGTTAAAATTAGTGTTTAGATTAATGGGGAAACGTTAATTTTTAATGATGCTTTTGGATGTTTTATTGTATTGTGTGCTATATATTGTGTCTTAGCCTAAACGTGTTCGAAAATCTATAAAAGTGATTAACCTAACCTAATTTTACTAATATCATTGTCATTGTCATACTTAAAAACTTGCTGCTTCTCTCTCCTGCAGGTGTGTAATCTGCATGATGGATTTTGAGTACAGCGATCCCATTCGGTTTTTGCCCTGCCTTCATATTTACCACGTGGATTGTATTGACCCCTGGCTGATGCGCTCCTTCACCTGCCCCTCCTGCATGGAGCCGGTAGATGCAGCCCTGCTGTCCTCTTACGAAACCAACTGAGCAGCCTCATGACAGCTGCTCCCGCCTACAAGTAACTGCACCTTTTTTTTTTTAACCAAAGCTGCCCAAGCTGTTCAGACAGGCAGCCAAGGTGATGTGGCATTATGCAGATGTTTGGAGGTTGTTTTAGGATGCAGACAGATGTTGAAAACTGTGACCTACAGTACAATGCTTTGGTCTGATATGCACCTAATTGGGCTTAGGAAACATTTTGCCTTTTACAGTAGGACAACGTGCCAAATCAAGCTAGATGAAGAATATGAAAAGCTGTACACGTAGCAACATATTACTGCAAAGTCATTTCACGTTTGTATGACTGACAGTATGTTCTAATTTAATTACATTTTTATGGTAATTAGATGCATATAAATTATCTTCCCCTTTCAAGACATAATGTGCAATATGTTATCAATGGAGAAAATTGGTCTTGATCAAGTGGGCATCATTGTTTGTGAGAAAAGCTGGTGAAAACATGAAATGCAGTTGATTCAAATAAACCTTTGGCCTTGAATGTTACAAAAACACAGGCCTCTCTACTGAAATGTCATCAAAACGTAGAAAATTTACATTTTTCTGAGTAAAGATATGCTATGAGGTCCCATGAACCTTCATGTCTACCGTGTCGTGAGATAAATAGGTGTAATTTCAGCTTTTGAAGATTGAATGCGTTTGGTTTTTTTGACTAGGGTCTTGTTGTGTGCACTGTAGTTATTTTACCTTTGAAGCTGCTTTTATTAATGTGGATCTGTTTTTTGGCTTTTCCACAATATGGATCCTCTCCTTTACTTTGCTCTGTGTTTTGATTTAAACATCAGTCTTTAGTGTGTCCTTTTCATTGTTTACCGTCAGAGACATTTACGACGACAAGATATGCTGTGCAATCCCCCTTAAGGCACCTTGAGATACCCTTCATCTGCCACTTTGTAGCTTTTAGATTTCGTAGAGGATTGTGAGTTTTTATATGTGTGTGTTGGGTTTTTTTCTTTTTCTTTTTAGGGGACGGTGGTTAGGGATAGGCATGTCGAGGTAACATTGTGAATTAACCTTGTTATAGTTACCTCTCTCTTTCTAGTTTGAAGCTGGTTTTGTCTTGTGTTGATTGCCTTACAACAAGTGATGCATTTCCAGAGCTCCGGGGTGCAGGATAAAAAAAAATGCTTAGAAACTACAGCAGTACAAAGGAATGTATCTTGAATATAAAGCTTTCTTTCAGCTTTTAAAGATTTGGACAGTATACTTGACAATAAGAGGACATTTCTGATTTACTCAGGCTGCTGTGCCTTTCAAGGTTGAGGTAAGCCAATTCCTGTGATGTACAATCGTTTCTCACATGACTTGTATTTTCATTTTAGTTGTCCTCTAGGGGGAGATGGATACCAGCACTGTATTGATTTGTGTCACTATCAAATAGGCCTAGGGGGAAGCCAGAAGTTTGCTCTGGCTGCTGTTAACAATCATTTTGTGTTTTAATTTGTAATGTGTGCCACTGGTGCACAGGTTTATAGGAAAACCATGAAACCACAATAAAAGTGGATACCAAATTTTACACAAGTATGGTGTGTTGTGTCAGTAATGTGTTAAATTTGAAGAGGTCGCATAGCAAAAAAAGCATGCTTTCGTTTAACTTTTTTTTTTATAGTTCTTCCTTACCTTATATAAAAGTTAGCATTGGCAGAACGCAATCACACAACAGCTGGAACACTGTTTACTGCCTCTAGCTGATGACTGGTACCAGCTTTTTTCAATGAAATGCCTTACCTACCTATTTATAAGATTTTATTTATAGAACTGTCCTGGATATAGTGTAGTAGTTATAACTAATACTGATTTTATACCGTCAGTGTTGAAACAAGTCATCAACGTGTGGATTGACAGAACCTAAATCAACATTGGATTTGATTGTCTAAATGGAATCTTTCCCAGTGTTTTACCAGGAAACAATATAACACCAAAAGTCAAATGAACAGCAGGCACATGGTCAGATGCCAGAACATCAGTGCAAATGTCAACCAGCTGGGCCCCGAACAACAACAACAGCAGCAGTTTCATACCCCTTATAAGAATCTTGCATGCATGAGCTGTGCCAACTACAGACAAATACTAAACAAAATTGCAAGAGAGTACTTTCATTCAAGAAAAGATTTTATTAAAAAAGTAGCATATTTGCTGTATTAAAAGCACACATATTGCACATTTTTATGCACATTGGACAACAGGAAATTCATGAATACATATTACAAATGTGGTTCTCAGTCAAATTGCTAAAATAATACACAGTATTTTGTCATTTACAGACCGTTAAAATTATAACCAGATAAAGCTTTTTAATAGTCTTACAGCACAGAAGCAAATATCAGAATCAACTTTATTAACCAGGTATGTGTACACATACGAGGATTTTGACTCTGGATCGTCCATTTCTCACAATCTTCTTACTTATACAATGATAAAATGAGACACTACAGTATACACAATATCTTACAACATTAATAGCAACATATCCAATACATAGTATTTCTTGTCTAAAAGGAATAGATTCCCATACTGACTGTGACCAGAGCCACAAAAAGTCCCAGGACCAACCTGAGCAGTGGGTTGGTTTTGATAATGGCTCCGGGGATCTGGAGTGTCTTTGCTGCTGTGTTACCGGAGTGTGTCACGCAGTTCTGCTGCTTGTTTTCAGTGACATTCAGCGTCTTCTGTAAATCATCAAAGACCTATAAAAACAAAGGCAAGACCGTCAATAAGCTGCAAGTTCAGTGGCCCTCAAAGTGACATTTCTGTTTTAAGGTTTCTCGCTCTGCTCAATCATCATCGCTCTGTACCTGAATGTTTAACTCAAAGGCTCTGACAGCCTCCTCCAGCACGCCGTTCCTCTCCTCCTCCGTCAGCTCCACACTGTTCATCCGGCTACGGTACAGCTGTTTGAACAGGTTGGGGCTGGACACACCAGGGAAGGCAAAGAACGACAGACCCTCGCCGCTCTTCAGCCCCATGGACTTCTGGGCAATTCGACCCAGGACCTGCCCTCCAGACAGGTCACCGAGGTACCGGGTGTAAGCATGGGCGACCAGAAATTCAGGGTTTTCTTTACCAATCTGGGGGGAAACAGGGATGAAGAGTGTTATTTCAGTATCAAACAGTAGAGAAACGACTGTGTGTGTAATATATGTATAATATAATCAAGCATACCTGTCTGAGTCTGTGGCAGTATCTTTTAGTGGCCGCGGGGACAACAATCTTCGCTCTCCAGTCCCGGCCGTAGAAGTATTCCAGGTCTTTCTCGATGGCCTCCAGCCTGGCCAGCTCAGCTGGAAAGTAAATGGGTGCGACACCAGGGTGGTTGGAGTTCCTGTCCAGCTCTTCCTCCAAGGCCTGGTAAACCTCATGTAGTGAGCACAGGAGGAGCTGAGGAGGAGGAGGAGGAGAGGTGGTCAGACAAAAATATCACAGTAGCCAATACAATACGATGAGGTATGCAATAAAAACAGATTTAAAATATGTTGGGCTGCACTGTATTACCTTGTACTGTTCCAGGGTGACTTTTCCCCTCTGGAAGCTCAGCATCAGCTCTGTGTTTTCTGCCCTGACGTGACTATCCTTTGTCACCTTTTTGATTTGTTCTGACAGATCTCTGCAAAAAGAAAATGAATTTAGATCAGTACAGCCGGGTCAGTTTAAGTTGGGTCAAAAAACAGGTACTGCCTGACCACAGCTTTGTTTGACTTAAGGACACACAAGAATTTGGGACTCCAAAGTACAAAAGATACATTATGTGAATACATTACTGCACCTAAAGATGTTTAACATAGTTGATAAAACTTTACAAGCACAAACAAAGTCAGCGCATACAGGAGTAGAAACCGTACTGCAACACAAATGCAGATATGATCATCCTAACTCAGTGTAGATTCTTTTCTAAGATACTTACAGTTTGAACACAATTATGTGGGAACATTTTATGGATGAGTATTACAAAGCCCAGTGGTGAAATGTGAATGAGTTAGGAAAAAGGATTTAGAGATACAATAAATCACAGCAGCTCATTCTTACCTGTCAGTCATCTGCTCTACTGGTGTCTGAGTCTTCTCTGTCTCCATTGTGGCCCTGAAAAATCACATTTGTTCAGATGTCATAAAAGTGCCTTCTGCGGGGCATACACATTATGTACACCAACATTATATTTGGATTCAAGAGTCAGAAAGAGGTTGTGAAATTCAAAGTATGACAAAAACAGGAATGTAATGTTTTACTCACCAGTTAGGATGTAGTTCTGTAGGTTTTGTAGTTTGGTCTATGTCCACACCAATTCACTGTTTTCTCTCCGATTGTGCCGTACAGCTTGCGCTGTGTCCCCTTTTATATGATCCTCCTCTGTCTCCTCCCTCCAGCGGCTGAATGAAAACAGGAACCTCAGCGTCACAAAACCTCAGCTAAACATGATATGGCAACTTCAGCAAAAACAGTAGGAGGGACTGATAGTTAACATGATGCAGCAACCAGCTTGGAAAAGTTCTGAGGGAGGGACTATGGGACTTAGCATGAGTAAGGAAGTTTTTAGTAATGCCCAGGAAAACCAGAATGGGGAGGGAGGAGGGCTAAACGTGACAGCGCAGCTTTGGAATTCCAAAGTTTAACACGACGAGAGGAGGAGCCGACTCTAAACATGACTGTGTGAGTTTCTGAAGGCAGAGAGGGAGGAGGTGTTTCAACAGAGACTAATGGTAGGCAAAAAACAATCACATGATTGTGTCAACACTACACCAGCAGTTTTCAGTTTGTCAAAAACATGTACAAGTTTAACCACTTTTAGATTAGCCTACTGATAAGTCTGTCACATGAAAAGAAAAGCATGAGCAGCGGAGACTATTGGTATTATATTAGGTAGTTAGGTAAATTTTATTTTGTCACATTATAACAGGTTGTAGAGTAAAAATGGTGAAACGTGCTGCTTTAAATGAATTTGTTCACATTTTTGTTATTATTATTATATATCCTAAACCCAGCGCTAAAAAAGGTTGGGATTTAAGTTACACTGTTATTGATGAAAATGTAAGCCAACAATTGAATTCATATTATTTTTGTAGCTGCCGTAAAACAAATCACGCCAACAGTCACATCATACTTGAATGTCCTGTTGGATGCTTAAACTGACACCCATATGTGATTGTGACATGCTCTTAAATGGTTACGTAATGACTTGTGATACACTATACTAGCAATCTAATACTGCTGAAAATGAGGACACCTGAACATTACACCCACATGTGATTGTTTTCATCTCATTTCAAAAACACGGACCTTGATATGCTGCTTCCACTTTTATAAGAAGGCTTTCCATGAGAGTTTAAATGTGGCTGCAGGGATTTGCTCCCATTAAGCCACAACAGCATCAGTGAGGTTTGGTGATGAGGAATGTCTTGCAGGTGATGTCCCCAAAATCCATCCCAAAGGTGTGGGATGGGGTTAAGATCAAAGCTCTGAGCAGGCCAGTCATGTTCTTTCACACCACACATTTGGGCATGGGTGCATATCATGTTGAAACCAAACTGCCTACACCAAAGCACATGAAAGTAGCGACAGGGTTGTCGCCATAATTTAGGCCATAAAGTCGGCTATAATTACCCCCAGCTCCATATGAAAAACATTGATATAGAAATGAATGATGTCTAGTGAAGTCTTACAACAAAATAGTGGAAAACTGAATTCTTAAGCATAACCTACCCATATTCAAAACATATCGAGAGGGGAATTTAATGTGAAAAGTGTTCCGCATAACCTCACCTGCTCAGTCAGCTGCAGCAAGGCATATTAATAGGTGATCTATTAAACCAGTTAACTCTCACTCCAGCTCCAGTCTTAACATGAATCAGCAGAGATCCAGGGAGGGAGAGACTGGGGAAGCGCTAAACGTGACTCAGCAACTTTTCCTTCACACGGTTTAGACCCGTGACCGACATACTGTTGACACGTCGAGTTCACCTGACGTTATCGGGGAAAGATACGGCCCGAAATTAAGGTTGTTATCATATGTTGTTAGCTACATGTTAGCTCGTTGTTCACTCAACAAAAGCTAATATGTCCTACACGAAATGAATGAGCGTTTAGCTTAGATTCAGGCACAACGTTGCAGTTAACTGTCGCTGTAATGTCGACGATAGACTTTGAACTTGAAACGTTAACATGGCGAAAAGAAGTGTTAGTAGCTGTTGACCAAAACTGTTGGTGGAGCAGATAGTCCTACGTTTACTCCATATTATTAGTAACATTAAAGCCGACTCTCATATAAGTTAGCTAACTTGTTTACTGCATTAGCACGACCTCCTACCAAACACCTAACACCTCACTAGTTCCTCTCCATTCTATTTAGAATGACATAAGTTACCACCAACCATAGTCCTGTGGCTAAGTCGCTATTTTCAAACATGTTTTTTGTGTCAGAATACACTAAGTTAAACCTTACTTTTTGGTCTGACATAGATCTTAACAAATTACAACAGAGCCAGGCATAGCGTCAAAATAAACTACATTTTTTTAATGAAAATGTCTTTAAATCATACTGTAAAGTTAATTGAATTATTTCTGAAGTTACACTTTGTTCTCCTTTGCATTGGCGGTGCTTTCCATTCAATTAATTCCAATGGAGCTTCATTCATTTTACTGCTTCTGAGTCACTGTCCTTCTCATCCCTGGCTCTCTAGATGGGTGATGAAGCAGACCTAATGAGTGGACTCAGCCAGAGAGAGAAGAAGAGGTCCTACAAAGACTTAAAGAAGGATGTGGAAGAGACTAAAAAGGATTTTAATGAACGTAGCACCAACAGGCTTTACAAGGCGGATCCTGAGCCTGCGCTGGTACATAGAGGAATGTTAGAGAAATAGTTGACTATTAGGTTTTTCAATTTATGTTTCATCTGCGGTACATTATCAACAGTTGTGGGAAGGGGTGTGACAAATAAGTTCTGCTTTGTAGCAGCCTTTTGTTGCCAGTTAATGCTGTGTTTGTGTGTGTGTAATTTAGGCTTTGATTTTGCAGTTTGGTACGCACTGTTCCATTTACACAGTTATCGTTACGTATTAATGGTAACTCTCTTGCAACATAGCTTACCACATATGGCAAAATTGATACCATTGTTATTTTTAAATGTTATGATTTACTTGAATTCCTAGCACCAGTTGTGATATCTTATTGTTCACGTTTTTTCAGGAACCAAAAGGCTTGCTCAACAGCAAAAGACAACACTCTGGTAAGGTGCTTTTCAGGCATGTGTATATCATGTGTTAATAGCTGAAGAGGTTTTTATATTGTAACTCGCAAATCCATCATGGCATAATATAATATGTCTCTGTGGTAAATGGTGAGCAAATTTCAGCTAAACCCGTCGTGACTAATAATATGACCACAGTGCAATCAAAGGGTGCAGGCAGGACACAAGATGAATAGATGGTTAACATTATTTGTATTGTTTAATATATAATATATATAATATGTATATATTAATACATGACACATTTCAGATCATAGTGGAGCTGAGGCTGAACTTTATGGAGCAGTGTCCTCTGGCTTCCTCCCTGCTTATTCGGTCTGTTTGCCCCAAGACAGATTGGGGATAAGAGGAGTAGAAGAGGTGAGAGAACAAATGAAATGGAAAACACAGGATTACATTTTAACGATTTAAGCTGCCTGTTATTTCATTCCTTACATACTCTCACTCATGACTAATGTGTGAACTTTCTCTTCCAGGATATCCAAGACAAGTTGTTGCATTCATGTTGCACAGCAGAGGGCAGCAATGATCAGGTAATTATCCAGGAAGTTGTTCAAAGTATACTTCTACTTTCACTTTTATGCAACATAAATTTTCTACTTTTCTGTTTCTCCCAGGCAAGTCCAAACTCCATGTTGGAGTACTGCGTGTATCTAGATAACCAGCACAACATGGCAGCCTGTCCCGTTGCCAGGACTTTCACCCCTCCTGCCACTCCAGTAACCCACAGACCTTGTCCGTCCATACCTGTTCCTAGTTCAGTGACAGCCATTGCTTCTACAATGAGCTCTGTGGTTAATCCCATGCTATCAAGCCCAATGACTGACACCTGTAGTCCCAGTAGCTCTATGTGCAGTCCCACCGGTTCAGCCTGGGACACTCTCAGATCCACATCCAGGAGTTCTGGCTGCTCTGACCGGGACCCTGTCATTGCTGCAGCTCACCTACACCTGTTGGGGGAATCATTGTCTCTGATTGGACACCATCTTCAGGAAACAAATGTGAGTAAATTCATTGTAGAAAAAAACCTGAGGCTTGATTTCTATTGAGTACTGGTCTGGGATGCTTAAACTTTTGATTTTATAAGCATATTACATTGATAATAGAGAGGCTGTGCCTTTGAGCGCAAATACAGCGAATAGAGACAAATAGTGAATACAGCTCACTTTACCAGGCATCCAGGGTTAACCAGACCAGACAGAAAAATGTGACAAAATACATTGTGGAGCTGTCAAATGCACCAAAACATTGCTACTACTACAAATTTTGATTAGTTACAACTCCCAAAAGTTAGCTAGTGTGCACAATTATAACTAGTATTTTCTGTTGCATTATTTCCATTTTATTTGCCATACCATACAATACAGTACCAAAAAAAGCCACAGGGCACAATAAAATTAGACAAATTTATAGTGTGAACAGTTTCTGAAGGTGTATATATTACATATATATTAAACCCAAAGTGAGTAACTTATTATGCTTTCCCTTTAAAATATGTCGGTTGTTCATATGAAACGTGATCAAAGTTTCAAAAAAAGAGGTAAAAGTAATTCATGTGAGCAAAAAGCTCAACCTTCAGACTGCTCTGAATATTAGGTTTCTTAAGTTCTTTTCTGCCCATGTTACTTTCTGGAAGATGGGTCCGGCTATGCGAGACAACTTTGCTGATGACTACTCTTCAAGTTATTGGAGGTTGTTCAGTGTAAGTTTCATGATGAAGAGATGGCTTTACTAACTACTGCTTACAGTAGCTGCTGTTAGCCGTGCAGCTGAAGGTCACATTCACTGATTTTGGTGAAAACCTGACTGTCCAACCTGGAAGCACAGGTCCTCAGTCCAGGCAGATCAGCTACAGTTAGCAGAAGTTAGCGGTTACTTTGAAGCTATGTAGAAACTCCATAAAATAAGATCCAGTTTCACCAAAATCAATGAATAAATTTGTGTTTTTTGTAAAATAATAGTGAGGCCCTAAGCAAGATCTCCCAGGCCGAACATATTTGGTACCTACATCAGGCCCAAGCAATACTCTGCTGCTGCAGTGTCGACCATTTTTCCAACCTATTTCTTGTCTCATTTGTGGTCTGATAAACAGTAAATTCATCAAATTCAGTGCCCCATGCTGCTATTTTCCAAGATAAATTAAAACCTCTGGCAGGTTTCTGGGAAGTTGGCCAGTCAGAAGAAAGTGGGCTTTCAGGGAGGGGAGCCTTAAAGAAACAGGATAAACTGATGGGCTGCATAAAGGGCCAGTATAAGATGGAACTGTTAATCACACAAAGCTACTCTAGTTGAATCCCAGAATCAAAATATAGAGCTGGAAATTAGCCTAATACGTCCTGTTTAAGCATACTTAAAGTCAGCTGAGGGATGATAATTACCTTTGTTTGTGTTTCTGCAGAAAATGGTGAGTGTGTCAAGTAGCTTGTCTCTGCTCTTGGACTCTCTGCTGTGTGCCTTGGCTCCTCTAATCTGCCTCACCTCACAGATACCAGAGCTCAGGAGTTGCACACAACCCACACTGGTGAGAGATGCATCAAGATAACAGTGCATACCTACCACATACTTTACACTGTTTATATGCACATGCATGCATATGAGTAAAATGATGCCATTGTGTTATGTAAAGGAGGGAACACTTCTTTTTTTAAGGCCTCCACACTGGAAAATATTGCCTATGTGATGCCTGGGATGTGAGTGATGAAGACCCCTCTAGCAGTACACAGCACATTCTGGTTTGACACTATAGATTAGTTTACACTTTGTAAATAAGTATCTAAGTTCTCAAAAAATTTGTTTACACTATCACCCCCCCCACACACACACAAATATGCAAGTTCACTTTAATATGTCATGTGTTGTGTTTTTTTTCTTGTATTGGTTGTTCAATTAAAACATGTATGAAGATTGAATTATGTAACTTTTTTGACTGACCATATACCTTTAGCTTGTGTCACTGGACCAGTGTCAATTTCTGTTTTTCTTCTTGACAGTTGCAATAACATAGACCAGATAGTCTCTTCTTTGTTGTCACATTAATACTCAAAAATAAAAGTTATCTTGACACCTCTGATGATAACTTTGACTGGATATCACCGGGAGTCACAGATGTCACTGTTTAATTTCTCTGAAAACACATTGTTTGAGCGCATACTGTCAGGTTGGTGACATCATCCAATAAGCCATGTTTGAGTTGTGTTTATATGTACTGTAACATGACCAATCATCTCTCGTAAAGAGAAATGTATTCTTAGAGATTAATAATAATTGAATTGAAGTTAAAGAGGCTTCAAGAGTTTCAGACCATTTAGGATAAAACTGTTTTTTGTGTGACAGCAGTGACAGTCTGACACAACACAATTTCCTCTTTGATTGTTAACCCGTCGCGTGTGCTCTCTGTACTGACTATGGATGACAACTGCAGCATATCAAAATGTTTACAGGCATAGTTTACCAGTTATGAGCCTTAAAGACGTCTACCAGTTTTGACACTTCATGGGTGTGGTAGATAACAACTAATGTGGAATGATTCACATGTGCTCCAGGATACACCTTCTCCGCCCCATCTTGGAATGCTTCACAGCCCGCAGACAAAGGAACCTGTTGTACATGCGAAAATATACTTACCAGTCGTTTCATGTATGCATGTGCTAGAAATTGGGAGTGGTGAGACTGCGAATTTCTCCTTCATAGGCAGCTTTAACTCCTCCGGCTGTGTCGACATGTACTGAAGTTGTCTGGGGTGAGACATAACTCAATGCCAACTGAACAAACAGAGCACACAAGAGAAGACAACACATGAACAGAACTTCAAAGACCTCAAAAGTTGAGTATGTTTCTTATTTTCTGAATACATTTCAATAGCTATCAGAATATTACAGTGGGAGTTTACCTGAAGCAGCAAGTTTATCAGTGTTTATACAAAGTTTCTTGGCCAAAGTACTATTTAGTAGCAACGGAATTTACAGATCTATGTAATGTGCGCCACAGTGCATTTGTATCAGCTTTGTGTAGGTCTGAGAAAATGGTTGTCATTATATGCGAGCTTAGAATAGTCGTCTAGTTTTACTCTTTACTTTCAGTATTAGTTTAATGTCCTAATTTGAATGTTTGTATTTGTAGGTGAATGTGTTTAGTGCATGTTTGCGTATCAGTCCAAATAGAAAATTCCAGGTAAAATGCAGTTGGACAGGATTGGCAAGGTGTGGCGGATCAGACACACTGAGTGAATAAGGGATGCAACTAGAAAAGAAAGTAAGGTTCCAGTGAAATGACAGCTTCATGTAGGAGTATGGCTATTACCAGTTTTCTTAGTTCTTGTTAACTCATGCACAACAGGTGAGATGTTGGGAGTATGTAGGAAAGAAATGTAATGCTAACAGGAAAGTAAGTCATCACAGATTTCATGTTTAATTTTAGCAGTCAATTTGGTCCACGTATCAAATGTCAGATTAGATGGTTAAATTACTGACCAACATGTCCAATTCTTAGTTTTTCCAGTTTGTTTTGCAATCAAAAGCCATGTGTGAACACACCTTTGCTTTTGATTGGTGGTTGTAGTTAGTATTGAATTACGTCCAGCTAGCCCATTTGACCCCTTCCTCTTTCATTCTCTCTTTCCAGCTATGAGTGAACACTTGGGAGGGAGTTACAATGGGCCCTCCCCCCCAGAGCTGAGACTTATTCTTTTGGGAAACATTGGATGTGGAAAGACGTCATCAGCGGACACTATCCTGGGCCAACTGTCCCCCGTCTCTCCCATTGCCTCTAGGAGCTGCCAGCAGCGACAGGGCGTCTCTGAGGGCAGGAGAGTAACCCTGGTGGAGGCACCGAGATGGTACTGGAGTGGTGGCAAGATGGAGGAAACTGTCAGTAAGGAGACGGAAAAAGCAATGGCGCTGGTAGCACCAGGCCCACATGCTATTCTGCTGCTGGTGCCTGTCAGCCAGTTCACAGAGGTTGGTTGTGGACTTGTTTTCCCCTTTAACTTGTGTTTTTTGTTTATTTATCATTTGCTCATGCAATCATCAATGTCATATTTTTAGTCATTTTAAGAGTAAAATACATGCTATTGCTTTATACTGCAGTGTTAATTAATATATACAGTATTCATTCATATTTGTAGGAGTACAATATGTTAGTATACAAAGTGTAGGATCTCTTACTATAATAAGTGGCAGTTGGCAGATCAGTGAACTATAATTCACTGGCAAATCCTAATATTAACCCCAGTTATTAATTTTTCTCCGGTGTTTCCAGATGGAGAGTCATGTGCCTGCAGAGCTAGAGAAGGTGTTTGGGGAGAAGGCTCTGGATCACACTGTAGTCCTGCTGACCTGTGGGGACTACTTGATGGGAAAAACAGTGGAGGTATTAGAGTTGTACAATCGATGTGTGTGATGTGCTGATATGTAAATGTGAAGTCCAGTTACTTTTAGTATTTTTAAAGTACTGCACTTTGCAGCGTCCAAAATTAATTGAATGAAAATGTGGGTATATTTTGGTAATGCCAAGTAAAAATATCAGCACTCAGGCTAACTGTAGTCTTTAACATTAACACGACAAATTCAATTCAGTTTTAGGCAGTAGGTGGCTTGCAATCATCAAGACGGCTTCAAAGGCAGAAATATCTGGAGAAAGCAACAGAAGGAGAGAAAAGAGGGGTTAGTTAGGAACAGTATGAGTTAAATTGCAACCTATTTATTGAGAATCTTTTTATTGAAAAGATGTAAATTGATATCTTTTTATAATTGTCCCTTTTAAAGCGCTGAGTTTGCATATTAAAAACTTGAGGTAATTGTTTTTAGTCAGATAATACATGATGCAGTTTCATGGCCAGTAAAAAAAATTTTGTTGTTGCCAATGGCAGATGAGCCAAATTGTTAATTTTGGACCGACCCTGTACTTAACAAGTTGACCTGTCTTGTGAAACACTGATACAAGAATAAAACTGACCTGTCTAAACTTTTTAGTTTGGGTTTTGTAAACTACTTTCAAACAGTGATGCATCATTTTGTGTAAACATGTAAATTTTGAGAAGAAACAGCTGCTCAGCTGCTGTTTATAAGAGCAGAAGAGAGACAGCCCATTTCCAATCTGAATTGTTTTCCACAGGAATACCTGCAGAGAGAGCACCCAGGCCTAAGGAAGATAATTGAGCTCTGTGGGGGGAGGTACCATATCATCAATAATCGGCAGCGACAGAACAGGGAACAGGTCCGTGAGCTGCTGGAGAAGGTGAGAAGTTGACGCAGAGAACAGTTAACAGAATAGCAAGTCAAGACAAGAGTTTGCACACACATTATCCAGTGTTTTTATACTGATTAGGGTGGGTATCTCACAATTTGGTTTTGGTGCAAACTCTGAAATGAAGCACAGTGGAGTTAGAGATTTTTGTGAAGCACTTTTTAACATTTTCAGAAGTGAAATTCTGTTTTATTGCACGTGTTGGAGCTCTTTGTTTTAGCTTTCTTGTCAGTTGTAGTTTTTCCCAGCACCACCCTGTTTCACACTCATGCAATCACACCCAGCTGTAGTCAAGAGCAGTATGCATTAATGACTAGGCAAATTACATTGTAACTTACTGGAGACCTGTCCAGGGTGTACCCCGCCTTTCGCCCGATGTCAGCTGGGATTGGCTCGATGAATGGATGGACATTGAACTTTGACTGACATGAGAATTTATTCCACATTGGAGATTAATGTTACACCTTTAATTCTAAATGTGAGTATGGGGGACATTATCTAACAATATTATTTGTTTATGCATTGATTTATGTAACAGGTGGATGATATGGTGCAGAAAAATGGAGTATACTATATGAAAACAAGCCAGGAGAGCGAGCTGGCGAAACGAGTGAAAGACAGAAAACAAGAACTTATGGAAAGTTACAGAGATCAAAAGGAGGAGAAAAGAGAGAAGGTTGCTTCAACGCACATCTCCAACACAGAAATACAGAGGAGTATCGTTAGAGGAGAGGAGTACAGCACCGCCCTGGACAGGTGGAGAAGAGAAGAGAGAGATGAGACGGATGGAAACGTGGGTGTGAGCCAGGTGTGTAACAGGCTTCATTCAACTCCAGCACCAGAGCCGCATAATGACAGGCAGTTGGCAAGGACGCCCAGTTTCAGACTAAATACAGGTAAACTGCAATAGATCTGGGTTCTGGATGTGGATGTTTTACAGCACAATGTCATGTAAAAAAAATAAAAAGAAGAAGAAAAATGAATGCGAGCGAAAAATGAACAGGACTCCTATTTATTGTTTTTGTAGAAGGAGCTATACTTTCACAAATGTCTGAGGCTAAAACATCTTCGAAAGTGATCACTACCTGTAAGTTACAGGACCTCACTGCTTCATATTATTATTATTATTATTATTATTATTACAGTTATGTCAAAGTGAAAGTTTGCTTCTGTGATGTTTGATGTTTAAAAGTTTGTCATTTCACTTTTATTAATAATTTATTAACTCAAAATTTCACTTCATTGTTTTCAGTTCACCACAGAATCAACAGCTTTGAAGAGCGATCCCCCGAGGCGTCTCCAACCTCCGCTCCTCATTCGCCCTTATTCTCTTCCCCTTCCTCACCAGCCTTCGCCTCCTCTCCCTTCTCCTCCTCCTCCTCTACCTCCTCATCCTCTCCGGAGCTGCGTCTGGTCCTGCTCGGCCGATCTGGAGCGGGGAAAAGCACAGCTGGCAATGACATACTGGGACGGAAGGAGTTTGAGTCACACCCAGAAAGCCTCAGAGCGATCACTCAGGAGTGTGAGAAAAAGAAAGCATTGGTTGGAGGAAGACGGGTAAACTAAGATGTTGTTTTTCTGGCTTGTTTTCATTTTCCACATATTCCACCATGTGTCATTGCCAAAACCCTCCGGATATCTTATCTTTGACACGCTCCTCTCTCACCTGTAGGTGGCGGTGGTGGATACTCCAGACTGGTTCAATTCAGATCGAGCTCAGGATGAGGTGCGAGCTCAGATCTCCTCATGTGTTGCTCTGTCTAGTCCAGGACCTCACGCCTTCCTCCTGTGCGTCCCCTTAGACCAGCTTGCAAAGACCGAGTTGCAGGCTCTCTGGGCCCTGGAGTCTGTTTTTGGCCCAGAGGCAGTCCAGAAACACACTCTGGTCCTCTTTACTTACGCAGATCGACTGAGGGAGAGCGGGAAGATGGAAAACAACAGCGTGGAGGCGTATATCGCTGGTCGGCGGGGGGATTTGTTAAAGCTTGTGGAGAAATGTGGGGACAGGTTTCATGTGATGGAGAAGGGAGGAGGTGGGAGGGAGAGGCAGAATGTGGTGGAGCTGCTGGAAAAGGTGGAGCAGACAGTGAAGGAAGCTGGAGGACAGTATTATTCTTGTCCTGCTTTTGAGGAGGCAGAGAACAGAGTAAGGCAGAGACAGGTAGAGATTGCAAGGCAGAGAAAGGAGGAAGAAGGACTAAGAAACGTTAGACAGCTCAGCTCGGAAAGGCGTGTACTTCATCCCTACATGCAGCCTGTGGCTGAAGCAGAGGAGGAAGTGAGAGAGGATGAGATTGAGAAAACAAGGGATGAGGCAGAGATGAGTGTAAGCACCATGAAGATCGAGAGCCTTCCTCCTGTTACACTTCCCAACATGTCCCCTTCACTTCTCCGTTCCATTATGGATAAAATGTCTAGTGCAAAGAATTTACCCAAGCTTTTGGCAGATAGCTCTATGTGGGTCGGTGAGGGAGCAGAGAAGGTGAAAAGTAGTTCAGTGTGGGAGACAGTCAGCAGTGGAGCACAAAATGTCCAGAAGATGGTGATTGATAGTTCACTGTGGGAGAAGGTGGGAGCTAGTGCCGGACACGTGTCCAAACTAGTAGGAGATAGAGTTCCCCAGGTAGTGGTGGATGGTTCTGCATGGGTGGGATCTGGAGCAAAGGCAGCAGCAGCAAGTCCTATGTGGGGAAAAGTAGGATCTGGGGCCATAACTGGAGCTAAACTAGTGGCTGGCAGGTCTGTGCAAGTTGGAGCTGGAATTGGTGCCGGTGCAAAGAAGGTAGCACAGAGCCCAGCGTGGGGCAAGGTGGGCTCTGGGGCCAAAGCAGGGGCCAAAATGGTGGCTGAGAGCTCAGTGTGGGAGAAAGTTGGGAATACTGCTAAACAGGTGCCCAAGATAGTCATAGGGGGTGCATTGTTGGGTCTGGTGCTTGGCGTGTTTTTGGGGGGGGTGATTGGTGGAGCTCTCGGTGCAGCTGCTGGATCTGCGGCAACTGAGATGGGCAGACGAAAGCTCAGCAATAAAAACACATTAGAAAACATAGATGAAGCTGCAAACAATGTAAATAGAACAGTGAACGATGGCGTGGTAAAACAAGGAGAAAAAGTATTGAAAACTGAGTGAATTGCTGAATTTATCTAAACTGTATGACATATGTAAATAAACATTTAATTCATGAATTAATAGTACCAGAAGTCTAGCAATATAGTCTAAATGAAAATACATTTTCAGATTTTAAACTCAGCTAAACTTGGTTGTATGATTGCACATTACAAACATTTAGGTTATTGTCTTATAAACTGTTTTCAAGATGTGTCAAATTCTCTAAGAAAACACAAATGCTGTGCCCTCACCATCTCTTCATATAAGCAGTAAATTCAAGGTGAATTAAAAACAAATGTTTTAAGTCATTTAGCAAGTTACATCGTTCATTTTGCACTATCTCCTCCTAGTTATGTAATCTTCCTCAGAGTTTAATAAAAAAAAGAAATTCAGTATAAAAATATTTTGTCTGTCTGTTTTTAGTGTTGTTGTATAAACAATTTAACATGTTTATCACCATTCTACACTGTTTTTGCATTTACTAAACTGCATTTAATATATATCCTCATTATCAGCAAGATAAAGCTGCTTTAGGTCGGGAAAACTTCCAGCATGTTTACTCCTCACATGGGAAATACACGTTTAGTCTGTACATGAAATAGAACTTCTGGTATTTCTGTGAGGTGTGACAAGTGGGTGTGACTCTGGGGGCAAGAGGGGCACAACGGAGGGGTGGAGGCAAGGCCATTATCTCCAAGTCCCAGGCTGGCCAGCATTACCCTGCTTGGCCTCATGTATCAGACGAAGGAGAGAATGTTTACCACCCCAGCAGTCCCGACCAATGTTAAAAGGTTTCATTTTCTTGACCAATATTGTGCATCACTGAAATATTTAATATATACTATGTACTGCAGATCTAGAAAAAAACACACATTAGTACAGTTTGCCATCTCCTCTAAACTGGGTGAGTAAGTGAATTCAGGAAAATGCTGTGATGTTTAGTTAATATCAGTCAATTCACCCTAGTCAGGGCACAGAAAAGAGAGAACATAAATTAAAAGTCTGTTCCTAATATTTTCACAGATGACTGTAACACAGTAAATAATAAAATCAGTGACTAAATTCCATTTAGCTGTTTCGATTTCAGGATCCAGGTATTGTGCATGTTTGCTTACTAGGACACTTAAACAGGACAAAGCTATCGTTAAAGCAGCAAGGCTCAATATTTCTATAATAACAATGTATTATATGCAATAATGTGTCCCGGCACTGATGAACCTAAAGACAATTATCACCTGGAACTGTAGTGAGCTTTAGCTCAACTTTACTGTTTTGGTTTAATCTCACCGCTCTCACAGTGTTGTTTTCAGCCGCTACAGTTTTTCAGTGACAAAACTCTACAAACCTGCTGTACACAATCTGTTCAGCACCATGCAGCAAATAGACACAGTTAGCAGCTAGCTGGTGAACATAGTGGAGCGTTTGGGAGCTAAAGAGCCAGATATTTTCCTCAGGAGCTGGTGGAGACCAAAAACAGAACTAAAAGAGAGTGAATATTGGACTTTCTTCAAGTGGCCAAAACCAGAATGAACTCTGAATGAATGCAACTGTTGCTCCGTTTGATGCGTAAATAAGCAACGGTTTGCTAACAAGTTCGCCATATCAACTCAAAAGGAGATGATAATGTATGTCAGTTTTGTGTTGACAACTTGTTCTCCCCAGGTGGACAAAAAATGTGTTACTGCTGGTTTATGTTATTAGTAGCAGTAGCGCTTTTATACTAGTCTACTACTATGGCAAGTCAAAATGTCTGCTGTGAAAAGGCCTATCCACTCCGGGCTATGCAAATGAGGCCCCTTCCACACTACTCCATTTTTGTTTAAAAACGGAGTTTGTAAACAAATATGATCTCTGCCCACACCAGCATTTTAGCTGCGTATCAGAGTTGATCTCTGTCTACATTAAAACGACTGAAAACGCACATCTAGTGGCCATTCACGTACACTGGGCATGCGCGTGCCTGGTGTAAACATGAAACAGATGGTCTTTTTCGTAGTTACAGAAGATTTGGCGAAAGAAAAAAGTACTACAGGTGAAGATTTTATTTTTCATGGCTCAATTACGAGCTGGGACTGTAACTGAATGTAACACAGGAGTTAAAAGCAGCTGTGGCAGCGGAAAACAGACTGGAAGTCGTCGCAAAGTAAATACGGTGACATACACAGTACAAGTATAGGCTATAAGTGTTATATTTGCATGGTACAAAATATTTAAATAAAAATACCAAATCAAAAACTCTGTCAGCAGCATTGTGGTTCTGCTTTGCATGATTAGTAAGACCCAGAGAGCCAAACATGAGCGTCTGCGTCATTGTTTCTAAAGTCCTCCGTTTTTGCCCGTCCGCACTAAAACGTTCTCCGGAGTTTCAAAACAAAAAACGGAGTCGGCAGCATTTTCAAACTTCTCTGTTTTAGGTCTTCATTTTTGCCATTTTAACGTGCAAACGTAGCAAAAGGTCTCAACAATTTTAAAACGAAACCGTGGGAGTGTGGATGGGGCCTGAGGCATCTGTGTAGTAGGAGCTTTGACTTGAGTTTTTAAAAAAAGCTGTATGAAACATGAATTTAAAGAGGCAAGAGGAAAAAGGAGAAAAATTTAAGAAAAGTAACATAAAGAACTGGAGTTCCTGGTAGGCTTTAAGATCTGTCACTCTGAGCTTTAACACACTCAGGTTTAGTCCTCCTTCACATGGTGCACGCTTGTGTTGCTAGTTAGCTAGAGGTAACACATGTATAATCAGCAGATTTACTGTTGTTTGTGATTAATAAACACGGACGTCCAGCAGTTAAATTTGCATTGATAAATCAAACATTTTTAGTTGAAAACACTCTAACAAACCTTTTTCATATTGACTTGTCATAGCAGGAAAAGCACAAGTGTAACACATTTCATTAACAATGGCACAGTTCCTTTAAGTGTCCCAGTAAGCCATGCCAAGATATGAGCCAGCATGCACAATATCAAAATGCTGGAACTTAAATGTCGTTTTAATGTTATCAATTACACCTTGCTTTTCCTGTGACAAGCCTAATGTCTGCTGTGAAAAAGGTTTATAGGTTTATCCTGTAATGCATCACACAGTGACACCAGGAGGCTTTTCATGAGATGATGTTGCAATAATATCTAATCCACAAATCATATAGCCTATTGTTAAATAACTCCCAGCAACGCATAAAATCACCTGTGTTGCTGAAAAAAAGCTAACTTTAGTGTGCACAGTTGCAGAATACCGCAGTAGGCTACCCCTTTAATTTGTGTGACCCCTGCCTCAGTCTGTAATCCTCTCTGTGGTTTAAGGGGAAAGCAGGGAGGGTACAGCCCGGTGCAGCAGAGGCAGCCGGAGCAGTGTTGTGAAAGCAGCTCTTCCTGTTGTGTGGGTGAACAGGGGTTCCCAGAGAATCCGGTTGGCTATATTCTTTTTCTGTTTTAGTTGCCACCCCACATGTCACCCATCACACACACACATACAGTGCCACCACCACCCCTCCACCAGGAAACTCATTGGCCGTCATTGAGACAGCACTAACTGTTGCCATTTCCTGGACACTTGATAGGGCTAAGCACGCAGGCGAGAGAGACACCAGCACCACTGCACAGCTGCAATTTACCCCCAAACTTCTCACTTATACAACCCCCACCACCATGCTGAACCCTCTCTCTAACCGCATCCCACATCCACCCTGCCCTTCCTCACACACGACCACAGAACTACAATTGTTGCTGTTGCATAAATGTTTTGCTAGTAACACATCCACCTGATTGCACACACACACACACACACACACACACACACACACATATATAGTACACACAAAAACATGCAGTGGTGGAATGTAACTAAGAGATCTACTTAAGTACTGTACTGTTACTTTCAGATTATTAATACAAAATATAAATTATAATTACACTTCCTGGCAGTGTATAGCCAGTAATATAATTTATATTATTCTGAATTGGGCCATTCTGCAAAATTACTTCTTTTACTTTTGGTACTTTAAGTATATTTTGATGCTAATACTTATATATTATTTATGCACTTATGTACTTACACGGTGTTATTCCTACTTTTACTTATGTAAAAGATCAAAGTACTTCTTTCACCACTGAAAACACATACTCTCCTCCCAAAATCTGCTGCCTGGGAAAATTCCAGCACTTCATGGGACAACATTTAAGTCCCCCCCCCCCTTTTTTTCCAGGGCTGGGATTGTCACTGTAATGTCAGCGAATGGTTATATTCAGCCTCAGGGTGTCACATCACTCACTATTTTAACAGGTGTTGTTTATGGCTCATCATTAATCTGTCACTCTAGTGAACAGGACAAACAAATAACATGGATTTTGGCTTTTTAGGCCCTACTCTATAATATGTGGTGACAAGTTCATTGTGTGGCTCTATGAACATATGGACATATGACTTATCTACATCAAATAAGCACTCACTTTCCAGTTGGTTCTTTCAAAACGCTGACCCAATAGCATGGCATTTATATGTTTATGTTTAAAGTCTGATGGCAATTGTGATCATCCCACACTGAGATTACATTTAGAGGTTGCACAAATGTTCCCTAGACCTCTGACAAACATGGCAAAACATTTGGATGTGTTGAGAAATCGTGCTGACAGAGAGCAGTCTTTGGAGTGCAATAAGAGGATGTCAAATAAGGAACAGCAAACTAAAACACACTTTATTTCTGTCTGGTACAAGTGTGTCACAATGTCAGGGTGCGACCATCGACCCTGCTTCTCTGACAATAAGAACGGCAGCAACATTAAACACTGCAACTCCAATTCATGAATGCATGTCATGCACCTCTCTGCAGGAACAATAGAGCATGTTGCACTTTAGTTTACCATAACTGTACTGGGGCAATGCTGGTTATTTACATGTTATTTTAATTTGGACTGGAACAAAAAAAAATCAGCTTTTTTAGGCCTCTTATGAGAGATTTAACATGTTCATGGGTCTACAGAGGAGGAATGGAAGACCTTGAATTTCTTGACCAAGAAAGGATTATTAGATTTACACGTAGAAATCACCTATTTGTTGCTTCATGCCTCTCAACTTGCCCCAGAGCAGAGTTCAGTATTATGCTAAAATACAGAGCTTAACACTCAATGTTTGCACATGATGCAGAGACAACACAGAGACAGTTAAAATTACAAAATGCCACCAAAAATCCATTTCTTACTTATTCACACTACTTTTTGTATCTGGCGATGATTGTGTGTCCTGTCCAGTCTGTCAGTGTGACATTTAAATTCCCAGTGGCTGCACACCTCTTTGTTTGCTTTTGGTGTCACCGCTCATCATTTGTTGATGCCACCATTCTTATCTGACCCTTGACCTTTCCGAGAATGCCATGGGTCACCAAAGAGGTCTTTGCCCCAAAGCTTTCCT